TTCTATGGGGGTCACTTTTCGTCGTTACACCGGTGTAACGACGAAAAGTGACCCCCGTAGAATATTGACCAGGGGGTCATTTTTCTACGTAGAAAAATGACCCCGGGTCAATATTCGACGACAAGTAGGGTCATTTTTCGACTGTAGAAAAACATTCCAGACCAGTAATTCTACGACTCCAAACACGTTGAAAAATGACCCCCATAGAATTTTGACCCCCTACCTTTTCATACAATAAAACCTTATATATGTTTTTCCTGATATTTTTTAATACTTTCAAATGCAAGTAGGGGGATTTTTTTTATGTACTTTAATCCTTTCCAACATATATTTGATTGCATATCTTATTAGTGTCATCCCTATCAATGTATCTGGTATGGATTTTTTTGGCTTGCAGAATCCCAATGAATATTTATTCATTGAAGAGCATAAATTTATTATTACATTTTTGGGTGTGGTTTTTTTTTTTTTTTTTTTTATCATTTAAAGGTTCTGTTCCGAAAAGGGCATGATATGTTTCTCAAAACTATAAACTTTGAAATTTTTTACAAATAAAAAAAAACATAGCATATAGAAGCAAGAAAAGCAACGTTATTTAACTCTATATAAATTCAATTCCCTTACCTCTTACATTTAAACGTACACATATACATCTGTTTGGAAGAAGGATATGGAGATAACGAACAGTATCAAAGTCATTAAAACAAAACAAAATAGGAGCAGAGCAAACACAGACCTCCGAAACATCAGAGGTGGGATCAGGTGCCATGGAGGAGTGAGCATCCCCTGCTGATCGATCACACCCGCAGTGTGATCCTTGTCATGATCTAGAAATAACGGAAAAATCCGTCGTCAATTCAATGTAAAAATAATGGGCTAACAATCAGCACGAAAGACGTCAGTCAGCATTTGACTTAATGATAAATTGTATTTGCGGACAAGGTCATTGTATCGACCATAAAACTTACGAAATGATGACTTTAAACGAATATTCTTGTTTCATCAGCTTGCTTGTCAGTGATTTACCTCGTTTAAAAAATTGTTCATTCGTAGATCATGCTCTTGCGTATCGAATCAACTGTGATACATAAACTCCGTATGCAGATGATGAAGGTTTATTGCTACCTGCGTGAGTAAGGGAAGGTGACGAAAGAAAAGTTAAAGTTATCATGATTATCATATAGCTTGGTTGCTAGATTGTACATTAACGTCTTTTTCAAGTAAAATATCCAAGTATGAAACAGATGTGTCAGACTCTTTGGTATCTTTTATCTCAAGCTCTTCAGGATATATCGTATCGACGTAGGAATGGAAATTACCATTGTTAATTGACAATCTGTCGTCACTACATTTTATTTATCTAAATGTCGAGTTGAAGGCCACAGGAAGTGTTTTCTTCTGTTCACGCATAATATCTTGCACAAATTCTGCTTTATAAGAATATAAAAATAGGTCTGCTAATAACAGAGCGCAATTGGTACCCATGGCATTTCCAATACATTGTTTGAAGACCTGGTCTCCAAAAAACACATAGATTTTTCAATCCGAAACTCAAGCATCTTTTTGATGTCAACTTCAGAGTACTTGTGTGTGTGATCAGAGTGCGTTTTAACAAAATAATTTTGCAAATGACCAATTACCAGGTAAGAGAATTTATCAGTTCTATTTTTACTGAAAAAGCAGCTGTCAATGATATAAAAAAAAGTCTGGACTTTAATTTATCGTGGGGAATGGTTGTGTATAAAGTTGAAAAGTCGTAAGTTTTCAAGCTGTTGATTTTGGTAAAATCTTGTGATTTCAAATTGTCTAAAAATTCTTTGGAATTTTTGAGTATCCACATCTGCTTCACACCACTTCTTGAATATATTGTTGCACAGTACTCTTGAAGTTTTTCCTTCATTTATGTCAATATCTTAGTGAGATGTAACGAAAGGGGCATGGTTGAACATTTACTGGAACCCGCAATATATCTTTGTTTGTAAGGATTCTTATGAAGTTTCGGAATCCAATATATATAAAGGGTAGTTCAAATTCATTTTGGCTCTGTGGAATATAAAAAATATTCAAAACTGACATATGATTTTGAAGAATTTCTTCCTCAGAAAGGGAAGTAGGAGTATAAGTAGGATTACCACTTGTAGAATTAAATCCAAGTTCTTCTAAAATACAACTTATATAATGAGCCCTACAAACGAAGACAATATTGTTACCTGCTTTGTCAGCAGGGACCAGTACGTACTGATCATGTAATCTATCTAAATCTTTTTTCACTTCTGGATTATTGATCACAGAAGGATAGTTGGCTTTCATATTGCCCCTCAGTCTTTTAATACGCGACTTATTAATCATGGATCTGATATATCTAGTCCATTCTGACAAAGTGTCAACGTCTTCTTTTTCATATCTGGCCCATTGTCTGGCATAATTTTCAACAGAATCCATAATATTAATGAATTTTAGCCCACAGACACCTGACCAATGGTTGCTGTTACATCCCCTTTCTTCTGAGATTTTATAGACATCACCTTTGCAAACTAATGAACTCTATTAGTCTATCATGCCATTACTTCGATATAAAGTCCCAGCACATACCGTCCAAAAGCTAATGCTAGAGTAAAAGCGTGGAATTTTGGGGGAAAAGTGTCTCAAACTCCAATGTCAATGTCATAAGGTCAAAGTTGTTGTACACAAAAAAGGTCTTGTCATTAAAATACAACTGTGAAATGTGAAAGCCATAGTCCCGCCCAGTTTAAAAATATGGGCAAGATTTATGCGGACAAATATACAAAAAGACAGGCGGACAGGTAAAAATCTATATACACCCGAAACGTCGTTTACAGGGGCATAAGTATAACATTATAGTAACAACTTTTTCATCATCCAACATTTGGTTTTTTTTCTATTGGTAAAAAACTCCTAAAATCATTATATGTAAGTACATGTAGAACGGGGAAAACAATACTACATGTGCCAATGTTTGGAAAGACGAGCACTCCTTTTTTGTGTAGTTAATCATGTTTTATGCTACAATCCTCATTTTGTTAAGGTTGTGTTAACACTAGCAAACGACAAAAGACATTTTACAGGCTTTGAGCTAACCACATTTTGTTTCCCTCGTATCATGCGTCAGAGGCAATTTAATGTTGTACTTATTTTTACAAATTAAATCATCCCTATTTTTTTTAATTAGAAGTTTGAAACTTCATTCATAGAAAACCAAATATTTTTAAAGATCTAATTTTCTAAGCTAGTGCCTTTTTCGCGCATATTTTAAAGAAAGGATCAAAAACGTTAAACTTTTGAAAAATAAAACTTTATTTTGATTTTTGCAAATTATTTTTTCAGGGTAAAATCAAAGAGATGTATAATTAATTGATCATGGAAACTTTTTTCTAACACCAGCTAGAAAATAACCTTAGGCCTATTTCAAGATTAAAATTGACAACTGTGAAAACTTACTGTATAAAATGTAATAAACGTTTCTATGAATGCGCGTATCTTTGCTCTAATAACCTTAAACATTTTAATAGATATTGTTGTCCTTTAATTGGGATAAAACGATTTGTATTATTAATATAAGGTATTGTATAGCTTTGATTTCGTTATCTAATCCTAAAAGCTTTCAGAAGTAACACTTCAAAGCATAAGGAAGCTTGATATTACCCGTATACATTCGCTTAAAAAGAATATTTCTACCAAAACGAATGTTTTTGCATCAAAAAATGACAAGGGGTCATTATTCTACGGGGTCATTTTTCTACAATGCACACGAAGAAAAATGACCCCAAGGCCATAATTTCTACAGAAAAGTGGGTCATTTTTCTACGTAGAATTTTGACCAGGGGGTCAAATTTCTACGTAGAAAAATGACCCCGGGTCAATATTCTACGGGGGTCACTTTTCGTCGTTACACCGGCAACCACGCCATTTTTATCAACAAACGCATTGGTTGCCTATCATAAACCCCACCGCTGAATAATGTGACTGATACTTTAGGGACTACTAGCCCGATGTGGACCGATGTTGGGGCATCGCTCACACCAAGGATTATTACCGATTACCACCGGTATACGGCCACCGACCGGGAAATGTGACTAAGGCATAATGACAACTAAGAAAACTTTTTGTCATAGTGATAACTTTGACACTATGAAAACTTTAAAAAAAATATCAATGATCACTGTGTAAACATTTTTTAGTTTATAACTCGATTCTAAATGTATTTTATATCTTTGTATAAAGATGATGAAGATGGTAACTATGTGTTTTGTTCGACATACTTATTAAGATGAGATGATGTTACTTATCAATATATTTTTGAAAAAACGAATTGAAATGAAAGATAAACAATATTCATTTTAAAAAATATTATCCATAAGAAGTCTTTGAAAACCATAAGTATTAACCTAAAATAATTTAAGAAAAAAAAATGCATTCGAAATTCATGGAATTATTGGAAATAAAAGACATCTGACACAGATATCTTTCGTAAATTGAGATAATCTGCAAAATTAGATGAAACCAATGTTGTGAAATACCAACAAAAAAAATTACTGTAGTTATAAATTTAATATTAGAATTTCTCAAATTATAATTCTTAAACGTAAATAAACCATAATGCTATAACGTTAAAATTTTGATTTACCAAAGTGTTAACGTTGAAACTTTAATGTACTATGGTGATAACTATGACATGAAAGTGGTATATATTAAGTAGGACAACTGATTTACGTACATTTGAGTGTTCACTATGAAAAAATTTAATTATAAAAGTGACAACTATGAAAACTTTGCAATTTTTTTTAATAGTAATCACTACATGCATGTCATTATAGTCACTGTGATAACCGTGAAAACTGATTTACTCTTGTGATAATTCACATTAACATGTAAGTATTTTTGTTAGTAAATCTGTATACATTGTAGATGATGCAAAAAGTTTCTATAATTTCTATAAAGCAATACAGTTGTGGACGTTTTGTACAGTCAACATAAAATCATTTTGATCAAAGAAGCATATCTTCATATTTATAGGGATAACCTGGCCTTTCCACTTCATTAATATACTCTTAGTTATGTTTTAATCTTTCCATCACAGTTTGATAAACGTATTCTTGAACTCAATAAAATTCAAAATTTCATAAACAAGTTGACATTAGTACCCCTTGAAAGAACAAAAATATATCTTTAGAGAAAAACAAATATCCTCTTTATTTAGCCGTTTATTGGCAAGATATGAAATTAGTTTTACAAGTATATGATGCTTTGCAGTAATAGTAAAAGCTCTGTAGGTACACTAAGTTTAATAACAATGTAAAATAAACAGAAGAAATAATGCACATTATAAGTCAAAATAAAAAAACACAGATACAATTTCTCCAAGGGCCTAAATTCGAGCGGTAATCTAAATGTTCGTGAATTGAGGTTATAAAGTTAGTACTATGTAGTCTATGCATTCAAAATTTATTAGGAACATAAAACAACAAAAAAAAATAAAGAAATGTTGAACATTTTAGCTTGCTACGTTCATTATTGCCAAATTAATATAAAATAAAGACGACATTATATGATCACCTGGCGTCGTCGCCGTTTAGTTTCATGACGTACATCCGTCAACGTCATTGTTTTTCAATGTCTGCTTCTTAATTCTACCTCATATACTTATTTGATGAGATTCCCTAAAACTGATTAAGGACTTTAACCTGTCTTGTTTATATGACTTTAAAATGTCATGAAGGGCGGCTTTAAATGCATATATTATTGCAAATGAATTTGTTCTTTGGGAGAGATCCTATCTTGATGTGCCAGCATATTTTACTTTTTGGAGTTTAATATCTACAAAACATGATCAACGTCATTTTTGACGTGATTGATTTTTCACACCTTAACTACAAATAGATATTAAATGCGCATCCCTTTCGTTTATGAATCTCTTTTGGCATTAAATACAAGTACTTTGGATGCATTTTATTTTTCCGTAGCCACTTTAAACAGGTTTTTACCAGTAATTTCAGGGGCAAAACTTTATAGAATGTTCGAAAAGGAAACCCCTCCCCTCTTTTGACGCCATTTTCAAGGCCTTATTTGTTTAGATACTCCATGTAAAATTCATGATTAATTTTGACAGAACTTCCAGAATGAAGTAAAAATTCCATATTTTATGGAACAACAGTGTCCCAAGACATACCTAAATTAACGGGATTTTTGAATGTCAAATGTTCATTTAAAAAGAGTTTTTCTCAGTTACACTTAGGTCGAAAAAACGCCGTGATCAAGGTTGCACCGCCTGGACATACCATTGCTTACAAAATCATTATTATTTTAGTAAAAAAAATTAAATTTTATGACTTTGCTTATTCTATAGATAGAAAAGATGATGCTAATTAGATAATTCGAAATTCATTGATCTACCTAAAGCGGTTTTACTTTTAAGGCGTTAGTCCACCAACTTTCTGATACCCCATCGTACATAATTTTTCTTATCTTAGAAAGTATGCATATCATGTACATGTGTATTGCTATTTGCATTACCTGAAAACTTTTATGAGATTTGAGATTTTTCCCTAAATGATATTATCAGGTTTAATGATGAAGTTTGAAGAACTGCAATAGGTAAATACTCCGTTACCTAGAGAATTCAAAGACATTTTCTGTGCATGTATTTTCAATTACTTAATGCCTTATTTTCAGAACCTGGGAATCAGAATACCTTAAATAATGAAGAACCAGGGAACGTTTTTAAAGTTCTGAATCTACTATTGCTCAGAAAGTATGATCAAAAGGGAAAAAACAAATCGATTTGCTTTATGCCAACTGAAATAATCAATCTGGAGAAATTCAGGGAGAAAATAATTGAAATATTTCCAGTTTAATATTCGTAAATTCATTTGATAAACACTATTTACATATCAAATACTGATTATGCAGATGTTCTAACTTACAATCTCTATGGAAAACCATAGCATATACAAATGATGTTGATACATGAAACAGCATTATTCAAAAATCGCATGTTGTTCGAAGATGTGCCGGGAGTGATTTTCTTCCGCATTTTTCATTGCTGTTTTATTTTTCCAGCACTCTATTCGATAAGCGTAGAACAATTTCCCTTCCTCTCGGAGACAGGAAGAACAGCTTCATAAGGCGGGAGATAGGACATCCGGTCACGAACCTGAAACGCAGTACGAATTAACAAGTCATCTTTCTTATAAACATTTAATAGGGTACCCTCAAAAATTTCCATACATCCCTTGCAAATAGTAGGTTTCCGTGATTCTTTAGTTATTTCTCCGCCAACAAGGATATAAGGATAATGGATTGGTGTATTTCAATATTTTTTTGTCTTTGATGTTTTGTGTTGTGTTTCTTATTGTCAGTAAGCCTACCAGCAAGTTTTCTTGATTAATTATACATTGTTATAACATTATATGGTGGAAGTCATCGCCATTTGCTGGGAGCAGTGCTCCAGTGATGGCTTGTATGTGCTCCGATAAAATATCTATTTGCTTCACCTTAATCAGGGATAAAAAGTAAGCAATATGACGAATATATGTGTGACGGTTGCAGTGCAGAAAGTTTGGGGCTGAATAGAAACGTGCTTGTAAATTAGGAATGTGTTTTGGTGGGGGGGGTGTAAAAACTCGTCATAAAATTCAAGATAAAGTTTTCTTTTCTTGAAAAGAATTTGTTCTGGTACTGAGTATTTTTATACATTTATTGCATAAGGATTTCCTTCCCCATGTCAAATATTCCCCGATGACATCGTCCTCATACATATTCAAGATTAACATTTTTGTAACCACTTAACATTTTTTTCAACGAAAAATAACGGTCTCGTACATCCTCAAAATATAATTCATAACATAGAGTCAAATTTAACTCTTAAACTGGTTGGTTTTTTTCTCTCACAATACTCATTAATAGCTACTCAAAAGAACTAAAAAGGGATATTGTACTTTGTAATTTAAAACCAGTGATATGAAGATGTAAATTGGAACTGTGATTAGTCAAAATAGAGGGAGAATCAATATCAAAACCTAATTAAGTTACGTAATATACTAGTACGTGAAAGTAATTTCACGCAAAATATATAGGCGATAAGTTACAATATTCAGATCTTATAATTGTATACAGCTTCCGACAGTAATACTCTACAATATTAATTAAACATTAACGCAACACATGACTATTTTTGAGCCATTTCATATATTAATTGCAGTGCTCATACTTATTTTAAGCTATCTTGACATGCATGTTTACAGCAAAAGTCAAGAATACCCGTGTAACACATTTTTTGTCAAATGAAAAGTATTTAACATATTCTACCTTTTCAGCCATTTTGAATACTCTTATCAAATTTCTTCCCGCCAATTTTTCAAGATCTTGCGTTGACCATCCCCTGCTCACAAGCTCGGCGAAAAGATTAGGGTATTTAGACACGTCTTCCAAACCAGCTGGTGTTCTGCGTTGTACAAAAACTTTAATATTTATCAAAATACGGGACACAACAGAATAACAACGCTAAAATGTTACATTTATATGTTTTGCTTTAGCTCAAACGTTTGACTTTATAAAGCATAGTCTACTAAGCAAAACACTCACGTCGGGATTCCGTCATAATCACCACCAATGCCTACATGGTTCACACCAATGAGATTTTTTATATGTTCCACATGATCTGTTAATTTGAGAGCGTGAAAATCAATAAAGTATAATTCAGAAAGGAGATAGAGTAGGATAGTGTGGTGGTAATGTCTTCCAGCTTATTCAATACTTAAGAACTTATTCTGAGAACGATCAATTTTTGAGCATGGCTACTGACAATCGAGTGGATGTTGCAGGGATTTCTAACCTTTTAACCAAGCTAGAAAAGTATGAATCCTTATCTGAAGCAATCTGGTAAATAAATGTGCATCCTTTGATGCACCAGCAATGCAAATATAGACCGAGTAAAGTTATAGTTACTTTGGAATAAAACGTACTTGAGCTTTATGACTGTTCGATTTCTTCATATATCATGGTAACTCGGGGAAAAGGCATGAAAATTAAGGATGAGTGGAGATGTGGAAGACAGGTAAAAGAAGTCACTAAAGGGTAAACAGAGCTCGAGGATGAAGAGAGTAATGGGTAGAGAAGGTAGGAATATTAGGTAGGAAGGATGGTAAAATGATGAACAATTATGATTGTGGGGGTCGAATAGTAAAAGATGAGGACATGTAGGAAAATGGAAGACGAGTAGGGTGGTTAACCGATGAACGAGTAGGATGGTTAAATACGACCGTGTGGGATGAACTGAATTGATGGAAGAGTAGGATGGTAACTGGAGGACGAGCAAGATGGTTAACTGGAGGACAAGTTAGATGGTTAACTGGATGACGAGTTGAATGGTTAAATGGAGGATGAATAGGATGGTTAACTGGAGGATGAGTAGGATGGTTAACTGGAGGATGAGTAGGATGGTTAGCTGAGGATGAGCAGGATGGTTAACTGGAGGATGAGCAGGATGGTTTACTGGAGGATGAGCAGGATGGCTAACTTAAGGACAAGCAGGATAGTTAACTGCATGATGAGTAGGATGATTAACTGCAGCATGAGCAGGATGGTTAACTGTAAGATGAGTATGATAATTAATTGGAGGACGAGTGAAAGAAGTAGAAGATAACAAATACGGCAAAGTTGATAATGTGACAAGGAAATTACTCGAAGGGTAGTGTGAACAATTAATGTATAGAAAGGACACGCTGATTTGTATACTGGAGATCTGGCAGGAGATTGGAGAAAATGAAAGCATTGTGTTGGACGGTCGGAATAGTATAGTAAAGAAGTGGTAAAAATAAAGAAAATAAAGCTATTTTAAACTGATTTTGATATGCATATAACATAATACAATTCAATGGGATTATTATACGATGTTTATAAAGAAGGATAGACGTTCCCGGCTATTTGCTGAAAGTTAGTTTGCGAAAGAAATCAAAATACTTCTAGAAGCACCCAGCTTCTGAAATATATTTATATATATAATCTACATAAAAATTTCAAGATACCAAATATGTTTTTTTTACAGATAAAGAATAAGAAAAAATGTATATCTTATGGTAAATTTTTAAAATTCGTACAATACATCCTCCTTATTCACTGAAATACTACCGTCAGTAGTGTTACCAAACTTCATCCTTTTAGAATATAAACTGACAAGTTCAAATCATGACTTAATAACAATCCCTCCGTTTTCAAACTGTTTTGTGAGATTAAATATTAATGGCATTGACTTTTAAATAAAATCACACCTTTCTGTTTCCATTATCCTTTTTTCTCCCGAAATTTAATTATGAACCAACATCTTTTGTTTTTAAATCACAAACACCTATAAAACGGTAAAATGAATAAAACACAACAGCTTAATGCCAAGCAAATTATTGATTCGATCCTTTTCCCCCTATTTTCTATCTTTCAATAATCATAAATCGCATAATGGTGTGTTGTTTAAACCAAACATAATCTGATTTTAGTTTGTAAGTGAATTAAAAGTGGAAATGTAGGAGAAGACATTTCCCTATTTGTTCATTTCATCTGTCCAGAAAGGTTAGTTTAAGACTGACTACACCGATAAAAACATATTGGCCCAATTTTATTGACTGGAGAAGCACTCTACAGAGGGCACAGAGTAGAAACTTCAAATTGGTTTCTACAGGAGCCCATTTAAGACGTATCAATGAAATCTTAGAATAAGTAAATAAATTTTATCAACGAGTAACCGGTCATATAACCGGTTAACAGTCGAGCGATGCGAGTATCGGTTGGTAAAACTGCTATATTCGGTTACTCTGATGAAAATACACTTGACATAAAAATTACGTAGAAAATACATGTATATGTAGCATGTATAAAGTTTATAAATAAATACTACATTAACACATTTCTCTCATTTTATTTACAGTTAGACTTGATCTAATGGTTCAACAGTAGGGTCGATTTGTTTTGATTAGTTTTCACAGTTTAGAGCTGAGGTACTCGATCGGAAGAGTACAATGTAGGCGAGTAACTGGTTACTAAAATTCATCCGATTTGACAACACTAGTTTGTATAGTCATCATTTCCACGCATTAACAGTCAGCTTTCTCTAACCCTCATTTAAAAAAAAATCAAAGTAAAAAATTAAAGGAACTAGAGTTGAGAACAACCGATGTCTCAATCGCAATGTCATGTACCCAATACATAATAGATTTGTTGAATTCGTTACTATAATAACGAATGTAATCAGTTGTTACAAAGATGTTGAAATCGTTAGAAAAAAAATTTCTTTTCTCATAGACTAAAATCACTCGCTCTGTGATCAGGAGGTCGTTAATTCAAACCCATGTCGCGACTGACTTATGTCGACATAAAATGATAAAGGTTTCCTGCTCTAAGCATTTGGTACTTTGAAGTTAAAGATGCTGGTCTTTCGAATGATTCCATAAAATTCGAAACCCCGAGTCACGTTAGAGGTTACCACGATAAAGTTCTCTCCTTGCTGAGGGACGAGAAAAGGTCTAAATTATTTAAACAAATGTATCATAATGGCGCGTTTCTATATGGGTGAAAATGTTCTCAAACGGTACGTAAATCAACATCAAATCAAATTTCATCTTTTTGTGACTTTTAAAATCTATTTAGAAATTTATATTCAGTTCCTTTAAACGAATTCAAATGATTAATCACTATGTTTAAGAACGAATCATAAATACACCAGGGAAAACTTTTACATTTGTTGTTTATCACGAATTCAAAAATTAATTTCTCTAGTAATTATACATGTATGCGTTTGAAATTTGAAAGATTTTTTTTGGTAAGACATCCTACTTCTGATATCGTCACAAATCAAGCTTATTACTAAATAAAAAAGACAAGAGGCCCAGGGGCCACAGCGCTCACTTGAGCACATCGGCTAGGAAAAAGCACATATCAGTTCAGAACTGAAAGTTTACTGAGGTAGGCGGGGGGCTTGAACTTTAACCCCCAAGGGGGTCATGAATTGAACAAACTAGAATCTACACTACCTGAGGATAATTCCATATAAATATCACTAATCATGGCTTTGAAGTACTTGAAAAGAAGATTTAAAAGGTTTCCCTATATATTCCTCTGTAAAATTTGGTCAGCCATTTTGGCCCAACCCTACCCCCGGGGGTCATGATTTGAACAAATTTGAATCTACACTATCTGAGGATAATTTCACATGATTTTCATCTTTCCTGTCTCAATCATTCTTGAGAAGAAGATTTTTAAAGATTTTTCCTATATACCGGTATTCCTATGTAAAACTTTGATCGGCCATTATGGCCCCACCCTACCCCCGGGGGTCATGATTTGAACAAATTTGAATCTACACTATCTGAGGATAATTTCACATGATTTTCATCTTTCCTGGCCCAGTGGTTCTTGAGAAGAAGATTTTTAAAGATTTTTCCTATATACCGGTATTCCTATGTAAAACTTTGATCGGCCATTATGGCCCCACCCTACCCCCGGGGGTCATGAGTTTAACAAACTTGAATCTACACTACCTGAGGATGATTCCACATGAGTTTCATCTTTCCTGGCCCAGTGGTTCTTGAGAAGAAGATTTTTAAAGATTTTTCCTATATACTCCTATGTAAACCTTTCAACGGCAATTATGGCTCTACCCTAGCCCCGGGGATCATAATTTGAAAAAATTTGAATCTACACAACATTAGGATAATTTCAAATGAGTTTCATTATTCATGTCTCAATTGTTCTTGAAAAGAAGATTTTAAAAGATTTTTCCTATATACTCCTATGTAAAACTTTGATCGGCCATTTTGGCCCCACCCTACCCCGGGGGTCATGAATTGTACAAACTTGAATCTACACTTCCTGAGGATGATTCCACATGAGTTTCATCTTTCCTGGCCCAGTGGTTCTTGAGACGAAGATTTTATAAAAATGCCATTAATTTTTCTCTAATTCATAATTATCTCCCCTTGGAAAAGGGCGTGGCCCTTCATTTGAACAAACTGGAATCCCCTTTACCCTATGATACTTTGTAGCAAGTTTGGTTGAAATTGGCCCAGTGGTTCTTGAGAAGAAGATGGAAATGTGAAAAGTTTACAACAACAACAACAACGACGACAACGACAGACAACAGACAAATTTTGATCAGAAAAGCTCACTTGAGCCTTCGGCTCAGGTGAGCTAAAAAGCTCTAAGTCTTGAACATGTATGTGCATATTTGATGATTTGAACTTCTTAACATATCTACACGCTTTGCTTTCAATACAAGTCGCCCATTGACTTAAAAAAGAGAAAAAATGCAAGGACAAGGAGTTATTCAGAAATTCAATTTGAAATATGTACCGATATATTCTGCAACTGTAACTGACGACTACTAATTAAACATATACCTTATGCAGATTGTTTTACCATCAGGTTATATAAGAGATTTTTATGAAAATAAATAAACAAAAAATAAATAAATAAAAAATTATTTATCCTGCTTCTGATAAAAATCGAGAAGTTTTATCGGTCGAAAAGGATAACGTATAAACCCCTATTATCATGACAAAACATTGCTCATAAATCGTTTTTCCTTGATTAATTGACGTGGTATCAAATCAATACCACCTTCAAATCAACCAAATGATCTGGTATCAATCCATATATATACCGTTTTCACTCGTAGGAAGCCTAAGTATTGTCATAGCAGAATCACGGTAAACAACAGATATTATACAAAGAGGTTTGATATAACTTTATTCAATAATCCCAAACAGTGAAAATTCTTAATGGGGAGCTATAAAAATTAATTTATAGGTTCTTGGAAAATTGTAGGTTGAACTCGGCATCGATCTCCCTAAAAAAGAAATTTTTTTGGCCAATGCCTCCATATATTTCTGTATAATCCCACTACGTGAATAATTACATGTAATTAAAATTAACCCATTTTAAGCCTTTTGGGAGGTTTTATTTAAGTACATGTAATAATATTTCCGTAAATTGCTTCTACGAAAAAAAAATCACTTCAATCTCCACCTTTTTCCTTCCTCTATTAGAGATTGGCAGGGGCTTGCCTTGAACAAATAAAGGGATATGCTACATTCACTAGGCTTGAGAACCCCCTGTCTTACAAATTGACAAGGGTCTATAATGAACTAATCAAGGAATATACTATATTCAGTAGGCTTGAGTACTCCCTGTCCTACAGAGTTGGTAGGGGCCTGCTCTGAACAAATCATGAAATACACTTGTCTATACATTTGGTACGCTGGAAAACTCACTGTCTTTCAGGATGGCAGGGACCTACTCTGAATAAATCAAGGAATACACTGAAGTCTACATTCAGTAGGCTTGAGAACTCCCTGTCTTTCAGATTGACAGGAGCCTATATTGAACAAATAAAAACACACACTGCATTCAATAGGCTTGAGAAGTCCCTGTCTTACAGATGGGCAGGGATCTGCTTTGAACAAATCAAGGGATACGCTACATTCAGTAGACTTGAGAACTCCCAGAATTACAGATTGGAAGAGGCCTGCTCTGAATAAATCAAGAAATACACTACATTTAGTAGGCTTGAGAACTCCTACTAAAAAGACAGATATATTTGGAAGATCTACAACTATACAAAAATTTTCCACTAACTAGTATTACCATATAGGCATATTGAAGTTTTGGACATAACTTGAATCTTAACTGTATATCCAAATATGACACAGTGTTTTTGAAGATGAAAAAACATTCAAAGTTTTTTTCTACATTATCATTATCGTCATCTCAAAAAGTACACGGATCTTCAAAAAAATCAATCCTCTCTCCCCGTTTTATTCGATCTTGGATAACAAGCAATATTTAAAACAGGATCTGTCTCAAACATCCTTGTTTTTCTGTGATCTGCTAGCATGACACCTGGAATTAACTCTAGCTAGGTTATGTCAATCTTTCCACTGTCGTCAATATTTTCCAGAAAAATTGAATTCTTACCATGGTTCTAGAGTTACTAGATTTTTGACAAGCTCATAGATAATTTCCTTTGTGATACATGTAGTCCCTTGTATATTCGTCAGTAAACTTAAAAAAAAATTATAATCTTCTCTGAAAATGTTACTTTTGACAAAGGGAATCAGAGTTCTGATTTTAGTCGTAGTACACTTCTCTGAAGACAATAAGAGTTTACCGATCTTTAAATATTTCCCAAAAATGTAGTCGTAGAGGCCAATTTAATACCCGAGAAAACAAAATTTTCAGTTTTTCCTTTTGCTCAATATTAATGGAAATGTTGTGAACAGCTGAAATCAAAATAAAATACAGACTACAGTCTTGCAGTGTGAATTTCAGTGAACAGAATTTTCTTAGGACAAAAACAGTATCTTCTTGAACATGATAACATAATATTTCTTCAAAGTGTCCGAAAATGGGGCTTAGTCTTTTTTTCTCATTATAATACATGTACAACTGCAGCAGCTGTAATATCATTCACTTACTTGCTACTTGTTGAACTGTGGCTAAAAAGCTGGAATTGTAATGGGGTTTACAATTCACAAAGCTCGGGTAGAAATTAACCATAACGACCCCTCCGTTCTTTTTCTTTAAAAATAATGAACACATATTAAACTTCTGCAAAATCGAATTCGAATCGTTTGCTTTCTTCTGTTGTATTAGTGAAATGCATCAAAAATGTATCATTGCTACTTTTAAGTGTTACGTTACGCTATCATTTAACTTTCTACATCATATTTGTTAACAGAATGTGCCCTGTTCCGGTAGATCCTGTAACCTTGACAACCTACCACCAGCTGTAGGACGTCATCCTGTACATTCCTGTAATGGTTACACACACTGAAAGCGGAGCTGTGGCTGAAAATCACCGGAGCCTCTGATATTTGGAGGCTAGCAATCATTGTAGCTTTAGCGACATGTGACAAATCTACCAGCATCCCAAGACGATTCATCTCTTTGATAACAACCTGAAAATATTCAGTGGACAAAAGATTCTGGATAGATTCTTTGAGATAAGTTGTCTAAAAATCTTAAATGCATTATAGTTTTGAATAATATTGTTCTACTCCTAAGCAGATACGCTTTACTGCCGCACTTAGTTTTTTTTTTTTCTCTTTTGTGTTCTTGAAAAGAGTAAAATTAATGTGCATTTGCTTTTTCCTTAAGCACATGTACATGTAGTTTCATTCTGCATGATATAATTAGTCATTGTGCAGAAAATTACATTTTGAAGACGGTCTATCTTTATCCATTGCACATTGCACTACATCCTAGTGAATGTAGCATATCCCTTTTTTCAAAATCCTTTATGATACTGTAGTAGTTATTTTGCTATTAGAAACTCCATTTTTTTTAATTCGTCTGTTTACAGCCTTTAGTATGCAACAGGTTTTGTCACTGGACGCAGTATGCTAGCCTCAATCGTGTTGTCTTGTTAAGCAAACTTTTGCAGGGAGGTGGACAATTTTTGATTGGAGGCCGAGCGCGATTTCTGCAATTAGATAATTTATAATCTTGCTCCTACTTTTTTTTTCAAAATGTGTTTGTCCGTGTGGCGCAGCACTTTGTAAGAGCGTCTGCTCTAGAGTCGCAAAGTAGGGAATTTATTCTACGTTGCGGGTTTGAATACCACTGTGGGACATGGAGACCAGTCCATCAGATTAGACCGTATAAACCGCGAAGTTCCGTGTCGCAGTAGGTGCTGGCACGAAAAGGAACCCTCACTGCTAAATGGCCCTAAGTGCGGAGTAAAGGACAAAATTTGAAGCTCTCCACCGGCAAGTGGTGGCGACTCCATATGAGTGAAAAATTCTCGAGAGGGACGTTAAACAACATACTATCAATCAATCAAAATGTATTTAACTACAGAGACTTCCTTATTTTTGCCATTAGACAAATATTCTTAGAACTCGCATAAACAATGCAGCCAAATAAATGGTTGAACTAGGGGGGTCTGTATATGTACTTGTGCAAAGAGTATGATAGGCATTACGAGAAATCTGTAAGCAGACGTTTTCCGAATAAATACTAAAATGTCCCATCCATTTCCAAAAAACTTTTTGTTGGATATTGGATCAGTAAAATTTTTTTTTAGTTCAACTAATCAAAATTTGTCCGTTGTCTGTTATCGCCATAAACTTTTTACAATTCCATCTTCTCCAGAATTACCGAGCCAATCTCAACCAACCCTACCACAAAGCATCCTTGGGTATAGGGAATGTAAGTTTGCTCATAGTTAGTCAATCATAGTGTTAAAAATATTTTACATGCCAAGACATTTAGAATTTCACACCACTGTTACATGTAGCTGTGACCTTATTTTAAATATTCGTGTTCAGGATCATTACATATAAACATTAACTAGTACTCTAGGCCAGTATAATACTGCTGTTCTTACTGCCTGTAATTTTCTGATTTTGACTAAGATGATTAGAATGGATAAGAATTTTACACTGTTGACGAGCAGAGAGCACAAATTTGACAGTTAAAAAGAGAGAGAAAATTAACTTTTTTACCTACCAATACCTTTCCAAAATTTGGAAAAATTATCGGCAAATACGAGGTGACCTAGTTCAAGTTGTACGTCAATAATTATCACTGGATGATACTTGTCTACATACAAACATACAGACATGATGTTTCCAGTATACTGTACCTTCCAAGCTTCTTTTCTAGGGTAATACATACTTGCATCTTCAGTAGTGTTTTACGAGGGATGTTCAATAAATAATGTCCTGAGCTCTAAGACATACAATAGAAATCATATGACATTAAGCTTGACTTTCATTCATGAATGAACCTTTAATGAATTGATTACAGTTTATTTGACCACTTTTCATCACATATTTTCATTGTGAGAAGCTGGAAAACAAGGGCATTAAAATGAATGGTAAAGAATCGGTAAACAAGAGCGAAAATACACGCTTCATGAAAGCTGCTTTAAAACTTGATAAGAATCCCAAAGAAATATACCCTGAAATATGTTAAATTTACAGCAACTTATGTCAGTTTTATAGAAACATGAGTAGGTGGATTTCAATGAACAAAAATGATATAGTGGGCATCAAAAATGGGAACCGTCCTTGGCGACAAAACTTACAACAACCAATGTAATGTATGCAAAAATTCTACAAATAATCGCTGATGACGTTTGATTGACTTTAAGACACATAGCATAATTGATAGGCATCATTTTAAGGGTAGCTTACAATATTTTAAAGAAACATTTGACAGTTAAAAAGTTTTATACTCAATGGTCACCCTATTTTTTGAAAAATAAATGAAAACAACAGTGTGTAAGAAAATCTAAACAATTTTTTTTTTTAAATCAAAAATTGAAGTTATCCACGTTAGTCTGAACTTCAAACAGATAATGAAACGTGATTTCATTGCTTTAAACCCTCAAAACAAATTTACTATAAGATCCACTTGACAAAAACAGCCAAGGTCTGAAAAAAGCACAAAAAAGTTTTATATGTCATTTTCTTGAATATTAGTAGTCTTGTTGTTCAAATTCTTATTCGGGGAGGCAGTTCAATATCTGGAGAAGTCTAGAAAGTAATTCTTTGAAAAAAAATTGAAAGGTTTATGAGAGGATGGAACCAGAATCAGGAATCCACTACTTTAAATTTCGTCATGATAGCGTCCAAACCCACAGGCCATGAAGAGTAAAGAAGTTTTGGGGATAAACAGAAAGTAAATATTTCGTCAAACCAACAATATTCCCCGGATCTTTCATCCTTTCACTTGTTTCATTTTCCAAACTTGATAAAAAACACCATTCAGAAAGAAGAAACAAGTCAAGAAAATCATAGGATCTGCCATATTCCAGTATTCGAAGGGCAATATTCAAAAATGCGTTTTAAAAACAATGAAAAATTAGATAAAAATGTTACGGACATGTGTTTCAATTAAAAGAAAATATTAAAGTAAAATCATTAAGGCTAAATCCTTGAGAAGCTTTTTGTTTCTTTCCGAGCACCGAGGACATTATCTATTGATCAGCCCTCGTACATGTATGTTTGCGTTATAATGAAGCGTAAGAATAGAAAAAGGGATTATAACTAGATTAACTACTAAAACGTGTAATTCAGCTCAAAGGTTGATTTCTTTTAAAAAATATATTTTAAAAAAATCCCCAACGTTCATGTATGTTAATAATACATACCTTGCCAAATTCAGACAAACCGTTGAATTCTGTACTGTTTGTTTGGTCCATGTGCCAGTTGTCTGCCCTTCAAAAAAGGTTAATACTTCATTATCATATTAAACAATGTCATGTTTCCATTATGGTCGCATGAACCGTGGAGCAGGGAGGCTGGAGGCATGCTATTTATGATATTTGATATATAGCATATTACATATATGACTTTTTCAATCGTGAACTTCTCTTCCTTGTGTTTATCACAAACATATCAAGTTGATCAGTGTCTCTCAGTAGAGCATGCTCTTTATACGAACAATTTCTAATCGAGGCAAGCTAGCTATTGACAAACGATTAAACGAAACAAGAATATGAACAGTTTCGCTTAAACTTTTATGTCATGTTCCATCAATCTATCAATGCTTACAAAAATGTAACTGGTTTCACAAAGTAAGGTATTTAATAAGTTAAAATTTTCAGTGAGAAAATAAAGTTCATCGGTCACGTGATCAAATCCAATGAAGGCCGATCACGTACTTAGGCCTTCACAGGATTTGATAACGTGTCCGACCCACTTCATTTCCCAGGGAAGTTTTTAAACTTATTTTATTTTTTTTAAATACATGAACGAAGGTCTTATCATGCATGTGGGTCTATTGTTAGAAGATGCATATATACAAGTCAAGTCCGTAACAAATTCTTACCACGGAGTGTTACAGCTATGCGTTATTGTCATGTACCGTATTCCAAGATTATAGAACATGCGCAGATTACCAAGACTGCTATCAATGGAATGACCTCCCTCTAGGCCCATCAAACTCGCAAACTTCTTGTCATGGAAAGCGTCAAGGATACCTGTCCAAAAATTTAGTTCACGGAGAAATAGGTTTTGTGATTTTTCAATGTTTGTACAAAGTAAGTGGGCCTAAATCCTGAGACTAGGGACCACTAATTTTAAAAATTTGATATACACGTACATTGTAGTAGACGGCTAAATGCTAATTATTATCAAACAATTTGATTGATAGATGATTAGGACGAAGAAAAAAATTATCAGATATGTATTTTTCGACATATGATTTATTTTCTTATCTACATACACTTACCCTGTGCAGTTGTGACAAACTTGAAGACGTCTGGGTACTTAGCGATGAATTTCTTCACTGTATCAACCTGATCCAAGGAGAGTTTGACCGCATCCTTATACTGACTGTTACAGTCAACATACACAGCCCAAAACTAAACAGTGGGCAAAAAACAATTTAAGTAATGTTCTTTTCTTCAGGTTTCTCGAGATATCATGGAGAAACTTAATTTACAGAAAGATAGACGAAGAGACGGACAGACCAACCGAATTTGATATCCCCCACTTTCAGTGAAAGCTGGAAACAATATTACATGTAAATAGGGTGTCAATTTCATGGAGACGTTGATTGTTGACAAATTTAATTAATGAAGCTTGCTCACGTTGCAATTATAAATTCATAAGTACAGTGTATACATGTAATACTAAAATTATTTTCAAAAGCTAGCTTTTTAAGCGCGCATCTGATTTCAGAAACAAAAGCATGTGTTTCGTGTTTTTCTGTGGATATTTTTACCTGGGCCGATAGCTTTCCCTGGCGTAACCTCGGGATGTCGGAGTGGATTGTCGAGTTGGGGAACAGTTCCTTCAGGTTCTGTCTCATGTCCACGCTGTACACCTTGTTTTGGACAGTCTGGTAGTACCAATAAGCCAGGTCATTGTGTCTAACAACAAAATAGCATCCAAATAGAACAAAATCGGTAATGTCTTACTCGGAATTAAATATAATTCTCAATCTTAAAAATCTGCAGAAGCAATGTGGCGGTATACTTTTCTATGAGCTACTTCTTGTGTGTAGTAACCGAAAGGTCATTTACGGAAAATCTATATGGACATTTTTTTCGTTACAAGAAATTCAAATCAGGTGTGGATTTCTTTATTTGACACGTGATAAGATTGATAGGATTTCAACCCTTTTCTTCCGAGTCATGACTCTTTAACAGAAAACAAATAAAATACCGATATCTCGCAGTTTATATGTATGTAATTAAAAAAAATCAAATTGTCGGCTTGAAATTTTTTGCACTTGCGACAGAGTTGGATGTTCTTTTCAGCTGATCCCCGATAAGAAGTATCAGGAATCAACTCGGTTATTAATATGAAGTTATGTTGGAAATTTGTAGACCTCATTTTTGGCAACCATTAACCGTTCATCGAACTCAAATACCTGAGTGCTTCATTGAAATCCATGTAAGTGGTAGAGGATTGTGGAAGAATATCCCTGGTTATATTTTTACCATCATGATATCTAGTATTGCATTTGTTGACTGAAATAGCGCTTAGGTGTCAAAGTAATAAAGCTAGTGATATTTTTACTACTGTAACATTATACATGCATGTGCGTGTTAGAGGGTTTTTAATACGATTTTGATACTAACTGTAAGTATTAAAAATCTAAAATGAAGATAAAATTAAAAATAAAAATCAGCTCAAGATACACTCTTTTACTAGTATTAGTTTTCAATCTAAAGTTAAGAAGGGTTACATGACAAATTACAAATTTTACATATATGCTTCAGGTAAACATTGGTACATGCGGAAGATTGCAAGTTGTGCTCATCGGCTGCGTCTGACTAACAATGTGCAAATTCGCAAACACCAATATTAATAAGTAAAATTGATTGTTACAGCAAAAACCATTAAAGCACAATTGCTTAGGATGCAGACTTCGTTGCCTTGAATTAATAATAATTCATGCTCTAATTTGGTCACAGATCTAATTAAAACAAGTCCTGTCTCGGAACATGTAAAATATTCTGGCTGAAATATAAAACCCCATTTCGTCAAGGAATAGATGTCTTTTTTACAATTGTTTGCATAAACTAAGACAATAATTTATGCATCGACATTTTTTATGCGGGGACGATACCATGTACGGGAGAGTTCTACCGAATGTTTACGGTAAACCTGTGCCCTTTCTGGTTCAGATGAAGAGGAAATAGCGTGCCATATTAACCGAATACATTTAATCGGAATTCGCATCTTTAAGATGTTCGTTTCATAATAATGCAGCAAGAACAGTGTTGAATAATTAATCTTTATAGATAACATCTACCTGTGGTTTAGACAATAGAACATTGTTTCTTTCCTTATATATTTCACAGTCTGAGGGCTTCTGTCAAAGTAATTGATAAGGAAATCAGGGCACCTGCTTCGTTGGGGTTTATTTTGACAATTTTCGATTGTGTTTTGGCCAAGGTATCCTTCTTAGTCTGATATTTAGTCTAGAAAAAGGTTGATACCCTGGAAAGTTCAATAGAAAATTCAAGAGCAAGCCTGGTTGCGAATGAAGTTGGAACCCCTCATCCATCCCTACGAAATTTGATTTTCGAGATAAGGTTTTTTTGGCTGGATAGAATTTGTTCAGGGAAGTAGTAATGTACCCCTCTCTCATTTTCGAATGCAATACTACATGCCTGTTGTCATTACTTGCCTTGTTTGAAAAATAACCTTCAGCCTAAATTAATTTACTGATATCTCTCAGCCTGGTTAATTTCTTAAGGACAAATGATACAAACAAAAAAATGGATACCCGGATTGGTATATATTTTTTGACCTGATTTTATTGTAAATGTTGCAAATAATAAATTTCTAGAATATAAAGAAATTGTAAACCTTCTGTGACGTTCAAAATTCTACCCTTCTGAAACCATCCTTATTATTCTATACAAATATTTTCCACTTGAAATTCCATTTTTGTGCAACTTTGAATAAAAAATTAAAAACTACGCGGTGAAACCTATTCATTTTATTCATTAAAACATGAACCAAGTTGTAATTTTTAAGATTTTTGACAAAAGTTTGTTTGTATCATCTGTCCTTAAATTGATAATTTTATTTGTTGCCATTAGAAAATATTTCAAAAGTATTTCTTATTTATCGAGCAGCTGTGGGTTCGATTAGTAGAGAGCCAATGCGTGTACATATTATATGTTCGAGGCTGTAATAATTCATACTGCTGGTAACCCTATCAAAAATTATCCATAATTTACTATGTACTTAATACAATGTAATACTTTAATACATTGATTTTGGCTGACACTCTCCTCTCAAATTTCTTGGAAGCTTAAGAGCCTTAATATTTCTTAAACTATGTACTTATCAATGTAGAGCTCTGCAGAAGCTGAACTGTAGCTCTGCGAAAAAAGATATATATTGACAGACTGGAGAGCTACAGTGCCACCCATTGAAAAAAACTGTATATTTATTGCGCACAGAAAATTGCACTTGGTTCTGCATTAATTCTTTTAAATTCTTACCTCAGTTGCAAAAAAGCTAGATTCAAAATAATTCCTTTCATATGTTTGTTGACATCTGCATGAAGCGCGTTCGACCGAATTATCTTGCAAACCAAAATGGCAGTATAAATGGATTAAATTTTCGATTATCTCAATTTCAGGGCCGGGAAGTCTATTAACAACAATTATAAGGATTTTTTGTTGTGGAAACAGTGAAAAAATATGTTAGGAACACACGATTAGTAATATTTTGAGATGACAGTTTTAAATACACGGAGAAATAAATCGTTAAATAGCGCTGTTACAACGCACTTTGAAAAATTACGCACTTTGAAAAAAATTGTCAAAGTGCGTTAAATTTGGGACCAAATCAACGCACTTTGAAAAGTAAAATTTCTTTTCAAATTGCGTTAATATCGACGATATTAACGCACTTTGAAAAAAATGTGTATGGCTTCGTCAATATTCTTGCAAATCTTAAGGATGTGAAAGTGAGCGATTTTGATTTTTCCATACTTTGAAAATTCTTTCTCTCTTAAATGTTTTACTGAACTTAATTTTTCCAGTTTGCATGCATTTTATATGTAAACTAAAAATTTATTGAAAGATTTCAACGTCATACCAGTTATGGAAATACATATATTTGGGTGTAGCATGGGCATCGGTACCGGGAGGGGGGTCTTGGGCACACAAATGTTTTGCAAAGATATATAAGCATTGAAAATTGGGACTTACTTTTGAAGTGGAGGGGGGGGGGGTGTCCACTTTCAATTTGCTACCGACGGCTATGTACAATGTATAAGAAATAAGAGTTGGGCTGATAGCCCTTCTACTCGTCTTCTCCTTGTTCCCAGTGAGGTCAAATGAGTACATACAGTATAAATTAAAACGTTTTTCGAAAGATATAATTAATACAATTTGATTCTGTCAATTACTAAAATCTCATATGTGGAGCGGAGCGGATCAGAAACCCTTGACATTGGAAGATGCTAAAAATCTCAGTCTAGAGTTTTTGTTTTATACATATTTTTTTTTCAAAGTGCGTTAAAAGCCCCCATGGCAAAAATGTTTATGTACACTCTTAACGCACTTTGAAAAATTTTTTTCAAAGTGCGTTGAATTTGTCCTAATTTTAACGCACTTTGAAAAAATTTTTCAAAGTGCGTTGCCACAGTTTTTTCAAAGGGTGGCACTGTAGCTCTCTGTTCGGTAAATATATTTTTTTTTCGGAGAGTTACAGCTGTTTTCAGTGATGTAAACTTGTTAAAAACAGTGTAAAAGAAGATTAATATAAACATGTATAGTGAAAGCAGACTATCATATTTTTTGCAAAAGTAACACGTAACAGAAGATAAATATATACATGTATAATGAAAGCAGACTATTACATTTTTCGCAAAAGTAACACAAACAATTAAATTTAAAGGATTGTGGTCCCACTCAGTGCGTTAAATTTGGGACCAAATCAACGCACTTTGAAAAGTAAAATTTCTTTTCAAATTGCGTTAATATCGACGATATTAACGCACTTTGAAAAAAATGTGTATGGCTTCGTCAATATTCTTGCAAATCTTAAGGATGTGAAAGTGAGCGATTTTGATTTTTCCATACTTTGAAAATTCTTTCTCTCTTAAATGTTTTACTGAACTTAATTTTTCCAGTTTGCATGCATTTTATATGTAAACTAAAAATTTATTGAAAGATTTCAACGTCATACCAGTTATGGAAATACATATATTTGGGTCTAGCATGGGCATCGGTACCGGGAGGGGGGTCTTGGGCACACAAATGTTTTGCAAAGATATATAAGCATTGAAAATTGGGACTTACTTTTGAAGTGGAGGGGGGGGTGTCCACTTTCAATTTGCTACCGACGGCTATGTACAATGTATAAGAAATAAGAGTTGGGCTGATAGCCCTTCTACTCGTCTTCTCCTTGTTCCCAATGAGGTCAAATGAGTACATACAGTATAAATTAAAACGTTTTTCGAAAGATATAATTAATACAATTTGATTCTGTCAATTACTAAAATCTCATATGTGGAGCGGAGCGGATCAGAAACCCTTGACATTGGAAGATGCTAAAAATCTCAGTCTAGAGTTTTTGTTTTATACATATTTTTTTTTCAAAGTGCGTTAAAAGCCCCCATGGCAAAAATGTTTATGTACACTCTTAACGCACTTTGAAAATTTTTTTTCAAAGTGCGTTGAATTTGTCCTAATTTTAACGCACTTTGAAAAAATTTTTCAAAGTGCGTTGCCACAGTTTTTTCAAAGGGTGGCACTGTAGCTCTCTGTTCGGTAAATATTTTTTTTTTTTTCGGAGAGTTACAGCTGTTTTCAGTCATGTAAACTTGTTAAAAACAGTTAAAAGAAGATTAATATAAACATGTATAGTGAAAGCAGACTATCATATTTTTTGCAAAAGTAACACGTAAAAGAAGATAAATATATACATGTATAATGAAAGCAGACTATTACATTTTTCGCAAAAGTAACACAAACAATTAAATTTAAAGGATTGTGGTCCCACTCAGTGCGTTAAATTTGGGACCAAATCAACGCACTTTGAAAAGTAAAATTTCTTTTCAAATTGCGTTAATATCGACGATATTAACGCACTTTGAAAATAATGTGTATGGCTTCGTCAATATTCTTGCAAATCTTAAGGATGTGAAAGTGAGCGATTTTGATTTTTCCATACTTTGAAAATTCTTTCTCTCTTAAATGTTTTACTGAACTTAATTTTTCCAGTTTGCATGCATTTTATATGTAAACTAAAAATTTATTGAAAGATTTCAACGTCATACCAGTTATGGAAATACATATATTTGGGTGTAGCATGGGCATCGGTACCGGGAGGGGGGTCTTGGGCACACAAATGTTTTGCAAAGATATATAAGCATTGAAAATTGGGACTTACTTTTGAAGTGGAGGGGGGGGGTGTGTCCACTTTCAATTTGCTACCGACGGCTATGTACAATGTATAAGAAATAAGAGTTGGGCTGATAGCCCTTCTACTCGTCTTCTCCTTGTTCCCAGTGAGGTCAAATGAGTACATACAGTATAAATTAAAACGTTTTTCGAAAGATATAATTAATACAATTTGATTCTGTCAATTACTAAAATCTCATATGTGGAGCGGAGCGGATCAGAAACCCTTGACATTGGAAGATGCTAAAAATCTCAGTCTAGAGTTTTTGTTTTATACATATTTTTTTTTCAAAGTGCGTTAAAAGCCCCCATGGCAAAAATGTTTATGTACACTCTTAACGCACTTTGAAAAATTTTTTTCAAAGTGCGTTGAATTTGTCCTAATTTTAACGCACTTTGAAAAAATTTTTCAAAGTGCGTTGCCACAGTTTTTTCAAAGGGTGGCACTGTAGCTCTCTGTTCGGTAAATATATTTTTTTTTTCGGAGAGTTACAGCTGTTTTCAGTGATGTAAACTTGTTAAAAACAGTGTAAAAGAAGATTAATATAAACATGTATAGTGAAAGCAGACTATCATATTTTTTGCAAAAGTAACACGTAAAAGAAGATAAATATATACATGTATAATGAAAGCAGACTATTACATTTTTCGCAAAAGTAACACAAACAATTAGATTTAAAGGATTGTGGTCCCACTCTTTCGGTGTCTTATTGGAAGGAATGCCATTATTTATCAAACATAAAGGCTTGAGGGTCAGAACTCATACCATGCTCGGAGTCATCTTGTAACAGGACGGGTTAAATGTATTAACACTTCAAATATGAAAGTAGGTTTAAAGATCACAGGGTCAAAAGGTATAGAATATTTAGAAAGGTCTTGTCACGGGTAATATAAATGATTGATATGAAAGTATTATCTTTTCCCATTCAAAAGTTATGACCTCACCTCTTACCTCACCCTATTCTCTTGGTGCTGGCTCATAAGACCCCAATACACTAAAAGTTATGACCAATTGAAAGTAATGTTAATTTTTTTGGAAAGAAGGTTAAACTTCAATGTCACGAACACAAAATTATAGTATATCTGGAAAGGTCTTGTCACAGATAATGCACAAGTCGTGAAATATGAAAGCCATTTCTTTTCTCATTCCAAAGCTATGATCATATATTCCACATATACCATGATTTTTTACCCTGTGACCTCGAAGTTTGACAAACTTTCCAAATATTTTAACAATATTTAAAATTACTAGTAGTCAGACTTTAAAAGAGAAAATAATGGGGCTTTCATATAAAATAATTGTACAGTGTATTTAACCTGTGACGTCTTTCTAAATATTCTAAATATTATGACTTTTGACCTTGTGTCCTTCATCTTGAAAGTTAACCCACGTACATTTCAAAAATCTTTCCATGTAACAATTGATTGAGAAGAAATAGACCTGTCATATTTTGAGATGACTCTGCATTACCTGTGACAAGATGTTCCGAGCATGCTATGATTTTTTAACCCTTTTACCTTGACCTAATTTTCAAAAAACTCAATTTTATTAATTACTTCTGAATGGCGTTCATATTTGACACAATCTGCCATAAATAATGACATCCCATCCTCCAAGACGCCGACAGCTGGGGCTCATAACTTTTTGAATGTGCTTGTTATTATTTATTTTGAATCGTGATTATTGTAATACAATTCAGAATTTAGAAAAAAAAATCGTGGTTTTTTTAATGTTCAATACTTCTGTTAATTTGAATGATGTTTAATATGAATAACTTGATATAAACATACCCGTCTATAAGTGGATAGCTATCTAAAACACAGTTTGCTATTTGAGGGTCGGTCGGGTGCGATCCGTATTGCTCCGTACAGGATGTGGCCGTTTGGATTTTCTCTGGCTCCGCTGGTCTGGTTGATTCTGGACACATCAGTATCTGTGGTGGACACGATTGAGTCTGTCCTGAACACGACTGCTCTCTTTTGGTGGTGGGCTCTTTACTGGATTGCTCATAGTAAATATTAGGCTTGTCATTTCCCTTACTTGAAACAACACCAAGAGAAATGGAAAGAGAGAGGATAATAACAAAGGAAGCCCCAGCGAAGCCGTAGATGATCCGTTTATTGATGGTCTGGCTTGGTGCAGGGACGGACAGATTGGACACGAGGTCTGATTGACTCGAATAAGATGTAGACATCTTAGAACAGCTAATAATTCAATGTCTGGTACTCGATGAAAACGGAGAAACAGTAAAACGATCGCTCCGAATATTAATTTTTTAATTGCAAAGAGGATACACAATTCCCCGAAAAAAAAGCTGTAAATTAAATCCACTCTTTATATCGAAAAAATTAATTTGATACGCATACCACATTTAATTCAATCAAAGCCCAAAACAATTTTACAGTATGTCATCTTTAACACGGGTATAGTAAATCACGCTGTCCTGTGTTCCTGTTATTGGGTATACATCCACTGAGAGACAGAGGTATGCAATAGATAGCAAGGCATCCATATAAAACCAGACCTGATACTTAGTATGTATGTAGAACAATATATTCAGTACGGACAATCTTTCCAAATCTTATCACTTTATAGGCTGTAGGTGGATTGTTAAAAAGTAATTGAAAGGTATTGGCTCTGAATGATATAGAATACTGTAGTAATGTCCATGTTTGAGGAGAATCTTCTGTTGTACACTATGACTTTTGACCCCGTGATCTTGACTTTGAAGTTTGACATACTTTTCAAAAATGTAAACATTACTTTAAGCCATAATATTTGAATTTTAGACATTGTGGTCCTGAAATTTGACTTACTTTTCAAAAACTTTAACTAACCTTGGTCATAATTTTTGAATGAGAAGAGATAAGGATTTCATATTTGCCATTACCTGTGAGAAGATATTTCCGAGCATGTTCCGATTTCTGACCTCTTGACCTTCATGTTTGACCTAATTTAAAAAATAAACTTTGGTGATAACTTTTAAATGATATATGATGGGATGTTCATATTTGACACATTTTGACATAAATATTAATAATGACATACCACCCACAAAGACACTGAAAGTGGAGGACCACAATTCTTTGAATTTACTTTTTTGAATTGAGTCCAATTGTCGTGAAATATATATTAATTCATAAGTGTAAGTTTACTTCACTAAAATATACACTGGGTACATGTGTATGACATGATGTCCATAAACAATATTAGATTTCACATGCACAGAAATTATCGTATATTTAAATATTTTTACATTCGGTGTAATTTTCTTTATAAAATCCATTAGAAATCTAAGACGTTCAAATCTCTATAACACACGCGAAACCGTGTTACCGCGCGGTAGAACACACAGTAGGAACTACATGCATTTTCAATATTAGGAAACACCAAAATGAATTTGTTTTGACTCAATTGAATTTTAAAAAATAACCTGTTAAATTAACGTAAAATAAAACAAATGTGCGTTAACAAATTAACTTGCCATCTCCTCCTCTCCCACTCACTCCTCCTTCTCCTCACCCTCACTCCTTTTCCTCTCTGCCTCCTCCTCCTCTCTCCTTCGATACTCCTCCTCTCTTCCTACTTCTCCTCTCTCACTCTTCCTACTCCTCCTCTCTGACTTGTCCTCCCCCCTTCCTCCTCCTCTCTCACTCCTACTCCTTTCTCACTCCTCCTCCTCCTCTCTCTTCCTCCTCCTCCTCTCTCTTCCTCCTCCTCTCTCACTCCTCCTCCTCTCTCTTCCTCCTCCTCCTCTCTCACTCCTCTTCTCCTCCTCTCTCTTCCTCTTTCTCCTCTCACTCCTCCTCCTCCTCACTCTTCCTGCTCCTCCTCTCTTCCTACTCCTCCTCACTCTTCCTACTCCTCTCTGACTCGTCCTCCTCTCTCTTCCTACTCCTCTCGCACTCCTCCTCCTCTTACACTCCTCCTCCTTACTCTTCCTACTCCTCCTCTCACACTTCTCCTCCTCACTCATTCTACTCCTCCTCTCTCTTCCCACTCCTCTCTGGCTCCTCCTCCTCCCTCTCTTTCTCATCCTCCTCCTCCTCTACTCTCCCTCCCCCTGTCTTCTTCTCTCTCATCCCTCCTCTTTCACTTCTCCTCCCTCACTCCTCCTCTTCTCTCCCTTCCCCTCTCCAAACTCCAATTCAATCTTCCCGCACTCTCACCACTCTTGTACCATCTCTTTATTTACTTATTGTCATACTAACTAATCTATTGTAAAACTTATGAAATAGACTATATATATCCCTAATACATAGATGTTTCTTAGTTTATTTATAATGAATAAATAAATTGAAAAATACTTATTCTAAAACAAAGAAAAATTCTTAACTTTATTTTTCTAAATGTATAACATATTTATTGTTGATCTTTTTTTATTTTGAAAATTTTTGAGCAGAGTTGTTTATTTAAGAAAAAATAATGTAATTGAAAGTTATAAGGGCGATAACTACACATGTACACACAACATAAATATGGCTTTGATCATTGTGTTGTATTAATTTAATGAACAATATTTATGTGTTTACTTATATGCAAGGAACATGATACATATATGTCAGCTTGAAATCTCTGTTGTACCCTTATGTTAGTAGATGTACGGCTGATTCCCTACAATCCTCATGTAGAGAGGAGAGCTATATATAAAAATATTCTTTATTTGACCAAATAGTTTGACATTTTCTATCTCTTATCCTTGTATGCAATCATACAAGTCTACTTTTTTTTATTCTTGTCTTGTTCAGACATATGCATCTTGACTCGTCGCATGCGTTTAATTTAGCCAAACTTCACTTGTACAGTGTAGAATGACTCCATCGTTGTTCTGTGCATTATCCGGTAGGTCATATTTTCTTGTTGAATATATCCTAAATGTTAATTTGTTTGGTGCTTTATTCAAATGCGTACTGTTATTAAAAATACATATAACTTTAACTTGTTGCATGGTTCTGCTGTCCTAAACAGCTGAACATAGATTTCACGTAATTTATTTTAATGGATAGCATTAAATGATTAACCTTTGGGCCTTCTTTATAATTTGAGTAAGTGTCCACCTTATTACTGACCCTATAGTAATGCTTCTGGGAAATTTTCAATCAATCAATGAAATTAACATTCCCTGCTAGATCTATTAAGCAATAGAGCTTAATACAAAATTAGAGCCATGCAAAATGTGAGCTTAAAAAGTGTTACACGGTTGCCCCTGTCGCACTCCTCAAGTCATGTAACATTAGAGAAATAGGAATACAATGTATAAAATCGTATAAAACATTTGCAATTCAATATAGTTCTCCCTAGTTTTGCTCCTGTCAAATCAATATTAAATTTATGGATGCTGATAGATATTGTGCCAAACAAGGGATTTCGAACTTCTATCATGTTCGTCCTCCCTTTCCCTTTCAGCCTTACCATGATAACTTAAGTTGCATTTTAAAGATCAGCTGGACATTAAACACTAAAATATGTTGATCCAGAAATTTTGCATTTATCTCAATGATTTGGTTTTTGAGTATTTCAGGCAAAACTTAAAAGGCATCGTTATTGTATACAGACTTCTTGGCTGTTAAGTTTTTTTCTTTCCGTATTTACATATTTTTGTGATAGCCTGTATAGTTTCTGTAGACTTTCTTTCACGTTTGCTGTTTTTCATCTTATTAACTGTTTTCTAGCTCAGTAAGAAACAAAGACTTTGTCAAGGGCCACAATTTTAATTTTTTTGTAAAAGTCATAGAAAGAACATATTAAATTTACTTTACTTTTAAAATAAAAAGTATTTGATGTCAGTCTATATACAGAGTACATGTACACATCACAGGCACTTGTTTCAGAAATAAATTTTTAACATATAGTATAATAATAACACAGGGTATTTTACTCCAAATTACACTCAGTACCCCCCTTCTCAGAAACGCACCCATTTACACTTTCAGAGGATATGCACTAACAAAATGTTTATAACCATTATCTTCTACGATAATTTATCTACACAACCATATATGGCAAGCATATCCTTGTTTTCTTTCATCCTCGTAAACAGCGTCAACACTCTGCTCACCGAGTGGAAAGTCGAATTCAACCACGAAACGGTATGTGCTAGTCTCGGGCAAAGAGCAAAATTTAAAAAAATTAGTGAGTTAAAAATTCATTTTCAGATTTAAAATATTGCACTGAACAAATGAAATTTGAATACGTCTCATTTTCCATAATAACACTACGACATTTTTTCCATATAATCTTAGATACAGATTTTTAACCAGTCAAAATCTTCGTGCGGGATTAGCACATACCGTTTCGTGGTTGAGTTCGACTTTCCACTCGGCGGGCAGAGTTTTGACGCTGTTTACGGAGCTGAATGAAAACTAAGATATGCATGCCATATATGGTTGTGTAGATAAATTATCGTAGAAGACAATGGTAACTAGTGCTAATTGTAACGGGAACCGTTACAGATGTTCCCCAAACGCTCCCCAACTCCTTTTTGGTCCTATATTCCCTGTAAGCTTCATTAAATAAGACAAACTCTGTGCACTTTTGACTTTAACAACGTTTTCTCAGAAGGATACCAATTATATTCAAATTTTAGCATTGCACCCGTGCGCATGTGATGCATGTGCGTTATGATCATATCATCTTGTCGACACTATCTACATATTTTAATATACAATATATTAAAGCATTCAGTCCAAAAGTATGAAAAATCACTCTTTCAAGTGTATTTTTCATTTCACTCGTTCCAAATGCACGCACGTGCGTGCACGTGCATGATGACCATACCTTCTTGTAGGAGTCCCTTATATCTATCTATATTCTAAATCCCATCCTGTTTGGTTGAAAAACAAGGGAGTTATAGCCATTTTAATTTTAAGCCAATCAGATTGCGGCACACGTGCATGCACGTGATTTCATGATTTTTTTTCCTATATCACATTGTAGGATATCCTAATACATGACTATGTTTTAAATTTCAAAGCATTTCGTCAAAAAACAAAGGAGATATAGCCATTTAAAGTTTCAGCCAATCAGATTTCTTCACGCGGGCATGCGCATGCTTTCATGAAAATTCTTATACATCATGCTGTAGATCTTCATAATGTAGGTATATGTTCAAAATTTCAAAGGATTATGACAAGAAACAAGAAAGATATTGAGACTTTAGTTTCAGCCAATCAGAGCGAAGCGCACGTTCATGCGCGTGAGATCTTACTTTTTTGACCATGTCATTTTGTCTATGCTTCTAATATATACTAATAATATGAGTTTCAAAGCATTTCATCAATAATTTAAATAGTTACGTCTGTATCAATTATATTGGACATTTCTCGTGTTGCACGTGCGAGCTCTTGCAAGCACATGTGCATGCACATGCTTTCATGATAAATCTTATATTACAGGCTGTAGATCTCCCTAATGTATGACTATGTTCAAAATTTCAAATGATTTTATCAAAAAACAAAAAAGATATTGAGGCTTTAGTTTCAGCCAATCAGAGCGAAGCGCACGTGCATGTGCGTGCGATCTTGCTATTTTGACGATTTCATCTTGTGCATATTACTAATATATCCTTACATTATAAGTTTCAAAACATTTCGTCACAAAATAGAAAAGTTACGGTTATATCCATTATATATTGGTCATTTTAAGTTTTGCACGTGCGCGCTCTTGCAAGCACGTGCGCGCAAAATGACCTTGATTCCGCAAATCTACATAACATGCCTACTTACCCTAAAAAGGTTTCACCTGAGTCGGATGTGTAGTTTACAAGATCACTCGCGTACAAAATTTTCCCAGGAAGAAAAATAATAATAAGAAGAATAATAATATCTAGAAACTCTTGTTGCTGCAGCAACAAAGAAGGTCTTCCGCTCTCCTCTATTTATCTGCATGATTGAGCTTTTATCTATGTTAAAAAAGGCATATAATATTTTAAATGATTTCAGGAGAACAAACGACCGGAGGTGTAACTTACCAGGATTCTCGACATTACTTGAGACAATTATAGTCTTAATAACATTTACAAAAATCATTTTCAATTTTTTTTATTATTTTCTGTGACGACCGGAAGTAAGGGCAGACGCATTTTATTCTATATATGTTGCCAAATCTTCATGGTTTATTATTAGTTTAAGTTTATTGTCTTGATCTGTTACAGTTTAAGAGATCTAGCAATGTTATCTTCTCATTTTGAGGACAAGAATTCACATGACCGGAAGTAATTTTTTGAAAAAACAGTTGAGGTTAATCTAGACATTTAAGTCAGATTAACGCGTCCTTAAATCAATTCAAATGCTCTTTTTATAAAAAAATATTTATGGGATAGTATGATACTAAAATTTATGCAGTTACTCTCTCATAACCGGAAGTTGTCGTTTTTGTTTCCAGTGGGACTGACATATTTCAAAACTATAAATAAGATGCTATAACATATTACTAAGAAAGATTCTATAGAAAAAATCGAAATTTTTGGTTTATTTGTTCACTTCCTTTGAAAACCGGAAGTGACGGCGGACAGTGTTAACCCAAATAAATTTGCCTCCTCATCAAGATCTATCAATCCTATAAGGTAGATGTCTTAATCTCTTACCGTTTACGAGATTTAGATATGATAACTTCTCATTTTGAGGATAGAAAATCACGCAACCGGAAGTGAATTTAACAAAGATATTTGACGATACTGTAGACAGTTGCAGTCTAAATAACATATTCAAAAATCATTACAAATACTTTATCTATAAAAAATATTTATGGGAAAGAAAAATACTCAAATAATGCAGTTTTTCTCTCATAACCGGAAGTGGTCGTTTTTGTTTCCGGTGGTACATATATATTTCAAAACTACAAATAAAATGAAATAATGTGATGCAAAAAAGTTTCCATAAAGAAAAGTTGAATTTTTCGATTTCTTTGATCACTTCCTGTGACGACCGGAAGTGACGGCAGACAATCTTATTCCAACTGGTTTTGTCTAATCATCAAAATCTACAACTTGTAAAAGTTTGGTGTCTTAATCTCTTACCGTTTACGAGATCTAGCTATGATAACCTCTCATTTTGCGGACAGGAAGTCACAAGACCGGAAGTGAATTTTAATCAGATATTTGAAGTTACTGTAGACATTTGCAGTCTTAATAACATATCCAAAAATCATTACAAATACTTTATCTATAAAGAATATTTATGGGAAAGAAAAATACTAAAATTATGTAGTTTTTCTCTTATAACAGGAAGTTGTAGTTTTTTATTTCCGGTCAAACTGACATATTTCTAAACTACGAATAAGATGCTATAATATGATGTAGAAATAGTTTCATGAAAGAAAAGTTGAAATTGTTGATTTCTTTGATCACTTCCTGTGACGACCGGAAGTGACGGCGGACGATCTTAACCCGATTGGTTTTGCCTACTTATCATGATTTATTACTTATATAAGTTTGGTGTCTTAACCCCTTCACTTCCGTACCGGTCAAATACGCGAGTTTCGAGATTGTAACTCTCCTGCGTTAGAGGCGCAAAATGTATCCATTTCAGCATGGAGGTGGGACAGTTTGTTTATGTATACAAACGTGCATAAATAAATGAACGATGTTTATGGCTTTTAAAATTTATTTAATGTTATAGAAAGATAAAAACGTTAAGCGGTGATGCATTTTATGATTTTATCAAGCTCAGCTGTGTATATTTATAAATCTACTTTCAATTATAGGGTACTTGAAAATGAAATAAACGTCGTGGTCTTTATAAAAAGTAAAAGATTCTCTTGATTGTGCAAACATTCTCTAAAAAGTTAGTGGGTTTTTTAAAGTTATAATAAGGTAAAAAATCAACGTGTCATTTAGATTGCCGACATGTAATGATCAGATTCATGTTTACCGTATTTATTAGAGGTCCATATATCTCTTCCCTCGTCTGAAAAGTCTCACATCCACTGAATTTTCTTTTTTGTTCCGATTTTTTTTGCTTTAAAAAATGACACCTTTACTTTAATTCGGTTATTCTTGAGTTGAACAGTGCATCCTTACAATTATATAGTTACGATAAACCAGTATATCGATGATGCGATATATCCAATAATAAATATCTGTCCCACCTGTTTGTTTACGCGGCAACCAAACTCCCCTCCTCAACGAAAGAGCGCACCAAGGGAGATAATCTCGAAACTTACGTATTGACCGGTGGCGCGTTAAAACACGACTTCGCGAAAATAAGATCTCCGTATCTATTTTATGGTAGCATGAAGGTATATAAACTATATATCATCTTTTTGGAAATTTTCTCTACTTTTAAAATATCTAAAAAGATTATGTCTTGATTGCCGGTATTTAATCGATTTAACGTTGTGAAGACAAACGTGACTTTATGAAAATGGCGTGATTTTCCAAAGCAATTGCCGATTTTCCAGACGATTGGCATTCTTTTCCAGATTAACTTTATAAAGAAAGTATGATATATTCTTAAAGCATTTTTTCTCTGCTTTTAAAATATGTAAAAATTATTGTTATTACTTTAAAGCATATTTTAAAAACAAGAATTTTCTTGCACTTATGTGTTTTTTCTCGATTTTATTCGTAATGTTTAAACAAAGCTCAGTTTTATGTTCATTTCTGTGTTGAAATAGGGAAAACAAAATAAAGCTGTTAAAAGTACAGAAAATTTCCTTTCCAACAAGTCCTTACAGGCCTTCTTACGCTCAGTATTTTCTTAATTACGATAATTTGAATTTGTGACCTTCGCATAGTTTTTATGGAAAAATCGGTCAATATTTACATGTAACGTCAAGGTCGATATTGTTGCGTCTTACTCGAAACAACAAATTCTTTTATAAGACTTTTTTGACCATTTAAATTTATTTTAACTGAAATAAATGCATAATACAAAAAAAAAAAATAGATTTCAAAAAACAAATATATACTATCGTTCTGTCTTTTGTGTGAAGTGAAAAGTTAATTTATTCATCTACATGTAATGATGTACATATTTCATGTTGTGATATAATATTATACAATGTTGATAAAAATTGTAGATCGATTCCCTAAACGCCGATCTTTACTAAAAAAAAAATCAGATTTTTAATATTGTTGTATCTTGTTAATATACCGTATACTTAATTTGCAATTTAATTAGGTCTATATTGGCATGAAATTTAACAATATACAAAAACTCGCATTATAAATAAATACGACTCATCAATGTATGAGTTGATACGAATTGAAATACACGTGTTTCCGCTATTGGGTAGCAGTATAAACAACAACACGATGGCGAACCGAAGAACGTCAATTTTCATGATTATTTCACGACGAAGATCATCACATCAATGAATCAAATAATACGGACATGCTTTTGGTATTAGCAGGTGAGAATACGTGTATTTTGACTGAATAGTTTAAGTTTAAAACGCAATTAGTTCACGTTCAAAAGAAAACTAAATGTACACGTACTATAAATAGATCTTCATATTTCAGTGTGCATATTTCGTATTGTTCAGCCAGTTTTGTGTTGCTTTTAAACGTTGATGCTATTGACAATCACTCGAAAGTTCAAAGTAAAATCAAAGTTGCCATAATTATAATGGATAGTTGTTTTCAATATGTGTGTACCAGTGTGTACATGTACCACTTTCACATTGAATTTTTAGGGTGCTGGCACCATATGCAACAATGCTTTCATCTGTGAATACCCACTTGCTAAGCCCACCATGAACTACGAAGGCTAATTGATATGTAAGGACACCAATTAACAGGTAAATTTTAGTTTTGGTATTGAAAATTTCTGGATTTCTAAAATTTCAAAAATAAAGTCAAATTTCATTTGGTGTCATTCTCATGATATTGCATTCATACAATTTTATAAACATTTGATTTAATTATTTCAAAGAATAAGCGTTTAAACACATAATACTTATGATGCTTGATTATTCATACAAACACATTTAATATTTAAACACGTAATATCTATTTGAATGAATGCCGAGATATGGAACAAGCTGTTATAGACTGCTGTTGTATTTCCAATCTGCATAAAGTATGTGGTTAAAATTTCCATTTTCTCAATTTTTCAGACACTTTCCCATTATCGTACATCACATACATGGGTGGTCAAACTCACTGGATGGTTTATCAACACTCCCATGCTCATGAACAGCCTTGCCCCAGGAATTTTGCCCTGAAGTAACATTGCAGTCTATTGTTTCCATTCTTTTTACAACCCTGGCAGCCATGCAGGTATGCAATCTATGAAAGCCATGAAGGGACATAGAATTTTTAAAAATTTATAAAAGTAAACCGAGTTCTCGATTTATACAATCCGTTCTCTCGGATTGACAATCTTTCATAACAAATTGCCAATTCATTCTCGCAGATTATCAATCCGTTCCCTCAAATTACTCTTTGTTTAAATGATTCGTTTCCTCAGAATATAAACCCTTCCCATGATTTCATTAAAATTATTTATCTGTACATATCGGATATGGTAATACATGTTTAAAGAATAGAATATTGTAATAATATTTTACACCCTACCTTTTATTACATATTACGGTCTAAAATGAGAAAAATACATGAACATTTTCAAATCCATATGCTAGTACTGATATTTGTACAACAAAAAATCTTAGAGGTTTTTGTGTTAAGTGTATATTAGAATAATTGAAAGTCCTAAATAGTAAAAGTGAATATGGGTCCTGTGTAATCATAATATTTCTAAAATAAATATATGTTGAATACGTAATATCGCGATTACCTCGCAGTTATCTAACTTACTACCGCTCTCTTGCAGGGGAGTCGAGAAAGCTTAAATCTCACGAGATTACTGGGGCACATGGCATTGTTTACAGTAGTGACAATCGTATGATTTGAACAATTTTATGCCTAAAATACAATGTACATGTATTGCCAAGAGTTGAATTCCAAATAGTAGATTGTCAAATAAGGAAAGTTTAAATTATTTTATCGGCTTTAAAATGCAGCGATTTTCAGTGAAAATTGAATTAGAAGAGCCCGCTTCGTTAAAAATATCGTTAAAAATGTAACAATTTAGGATTAGTTCATCTCAAAAATTAATTACGCGAGTTCAGCGATTGTTAAGCAAGGTATTCCACCAGGATTTTTTACTTATCTGTCCTTATAAATTCTACAATGATCAATCTTGCATTGTATTCAATAGCACATTTGTCCCCAGCCAACAGACGTTTCCTACCTCCATTGCTAAAGAGTTTCGCTAAGTTAATTAATCGCGATATCAAGTATTAGTTATGAAAGAGGTTGGAAATGACCGGTTGCTGAAACAAAATAAATAGAACGCACAAATTGATTATAATGGTTGAATGTATCTGTACGTATATGTTATGAAATTCAAGAGCACAGATTGCCAAAATCATAAGACTGACGTTGTAACAAATCAGATCTTGAATTATTAATCTGTGAAAACGAATTACCAGTATGTAATTCGAGATCTCAAATTATGAATCAAGGGGGCGAATAAGTAATCCCTAAGATCGGATTGTGTAATTCGAGATCTCGAATTATAAATCGATGGAACGATCTAGTAATCCATGGGATTGGATTGTCTAATTCAAGATCTCATTTTTTACTTTTTTGAAAATTGATGTGTCCCTTCATGGCTTTCGTAGCAATCTAATTAATCTATTTAAATTAGATCTTCCATCCACTGCCAGATTTTTTCATATGTTGCGATAGCGTAAACAGAGGCTTTAGTCAGATTGCCATATATGCTATTTGTTTTAGTTCAGTAATTTTACCATGATGGTTTACTACAAGGTTGTTGAATTATCAGTCCTGATACATTGACTTAGTAATATCATTTAACTACTTGAATCACATAATAAATACAATATTAATTTTAAAAGGAAAATCAAATAAATGTAGTAATTTTAGCATTCTTAATTTTATTTATAAATGGAAATTCATATACACAATGACATGTATCTGTTTCAAAATATATAAATCTTTTACAGTATAGAAGCTGATCACTTGTACTTGACAGCAAATAATAATGTCTTGGACAAGTCAAAGAATTTCCTCCAGTCTTACAGAGAAATGACAGTTGATAAAAGAATGGTGGACACAAAGTAAAAATGTTCTTCAACATTTTGTTGAAGATTTCAGTCTGACTTGGAATTCATCTGGCAATATTTCTGGATTTGTATATTTGGATATAAACGTCACAATTTCAAGTTATTGACTAAACAGTTTTGCATTAAATATTGCCAATGCTATGTATTATTATTATTTCCCTCCAAGATAACATGTCAGGTCTTTATTCTAACCCTTAAGCTCTGTTATACCAGAAAAATCTTGTAATGAAATCAATTAGTTTATTTTTTCTTGTTAGATTAAATCCATGAAAATAAAGATTATTTTTAATGGCATCAAGAGAATGGATTTTTTTGTTTAACAAAAAGATTGTATACATGTTTTGCTAGGGGTTTGTAAGAAGCAGACCAGAATTCTTTGCTTGCAAATTTTGTCGTTTGCCATTTTTATCACGTCAACTATTAGATGTTTTATCCATGATTGAAGCATTTCAAAATTGATATTTACTTACAATTTAAAGCAGAATTCTGTACTGATATGACCTTGATCCCCTTAAGAACAAGAGTCAAGGTCAATTTTTAATACAAAAATGTTATTTCATCTTTATGGCCCATATCTTGCATACAATATCATGAAATATACAAAAAGTGTCGAGAATGTGTCCAGAATGTGAAATAACAAACATGTATATAGCCAAAAACTTTAAAAAGTTGTTGCTTAGCAACCACTTAAAGGTCATTAAACAGATATTTGAACTAATATGATGCATGGATATTGCAGTTCTGATCCCTTTTTGAGAGTATATTCAGAATTTTCCATTTCGACATCCATTGTGTAAAATTATGGCAAGAATATTGAAAAGTGTTGAAAAAAATTGATGAAACTTTTGCACTTATTTGACCTTTGACCTCCTAAAAATAGTTCTAATGAGGTCAAACTTCAAGACAATTTATCTGCTGTTCATCACTTGTAATGTTATGACCTCACATGTAACTTTTATATGTGCTGAGATGCATAAATGTGTCTAGGATGAGTAATAACGAAAATTCTTGCCCGAAAATTAAAAAATTCTGGGTTGCTAAGTAACCGCTTTTAAGTAGTTATATGCAGAATTGAAAAAAAAAAGTTTATATGTTTCATGTAGTACAGTATCATGCTCTTTTGTGAGTATATTCAAAATTTCCTATTTCAACATACATCATAGTAAATATTTAGCTTGAAGATTAAAAAGTATCAAAAAATCCCATAAAATTTTGCACTTAATTGACCTTTGACCTCCATTTTTACTAATAAGGTCAGTTGTTGAGTATCTGAATAGTCATAAAATATCATCTCTAAGACATTCCCTACAAAATGGTATGCAATATACCTAGCTTTCTCCTTGAATGAAAAAGTTGGAAATAATTTAATAATGTCATATCAAAAAGTCTCCCAAATCACCTAAAATGTGCCGGTAGAGAAAGGGTTAATCTCTTACCGTTTCTGAGATATGACTCGGACAAAACTTTTTTTGAAAAAAGCGGAAATCGGACATATCTGACGACCGGAAGTAAATTTTGAAAAACTGGAAACTGCATTGGAAAGATATTTTTACTCTTTATTATCCCTGAAAATTTCATGAGAATCTGTCGAGTCATCTCTGAGAAATCGTTGAAACAAAAAGGGGAAAAAAATAATAATAAAAAAAAGAAAAAGAAAAAACAGTAGAATCACTATAAGGTCTTCCGTCTGAAACGGAAGACCTTAATAAGAAACAGAGTAAAAACAATACGTTCCCCAACTTCGTTTGGGGAACATAATAAAAAGTTTGCCAGTGCATTTAATCTGAAAGTGTAAATGAGTGCGTTTCTGAGAAGGGGGGTACTGAGTGTAATTTGGAGTTAGATACCTTGTGTTATTATTATACTACATGTGTATATGTTTAAAATTTATTTCCGAAACAAGTGCATGTGTTATGAAGAAATGGTACAGGAAAATGACGAATGGGTTGTAAATATTAAAACAGAACTGAATAGATTAGGATTAAACTTTTTGATAGACACAAATTATGATGATAAATATGTTATAAAACTTATTGAACAGAGAATGAAAGATATTTACATTCAGGAATTAAGAGCAGATATTGACAATATGCCAAAAGCTAATTTGTACAAACATCTTACAGATACACATTGCCTTCAGTATTACCTTAACAAACCTTTAAATGCTAAAAATCGAGAAATAATTTCAAAGTTTAGGATGTCTGATCACAACTTATATATTGAAAGGGGTAGATACACGAATACCAATAGAAATGATAGAAAAATTAGTAAAAATGCATTTTGTGTACTCTAAATGAAATAGAAGATGAATTTCATTTCATTTTACAATGTCCAACATATGAAAATTTAAGGAAGAAATATATTAAAAAATATTATTATCAAAACAGTAGTGTATTTAAATCAATACAATTACTTACTGTTCAAAATGTAAGAGAATTAAGAGGTCTGGGGAACTTATTAAGAGAAGCATATCATTTGCGGGAAAGTAAAATAAATCGAGTCATATTGATGTTGATATATTCATATCATTTATGTCATATATATATATATATATTTGTATCATATGTACATAATTATCATATTCTCCTGTAAACCTGTACAGTCATTGTTGTATTATTTTGTTTGAACTGATGAGATATAAAGCTCAAAGTCAATAAAGAACTTGAACTTGAACTTGATTAATTATATGATATTACAATAATATGTATGTATAAATATGCACATTTATCAATGCTTGTGTAAATACATTGTAAAATATGTTTACATGGCAATTATGTATAATTATGTATATTATATGTTATTAATATGTTAATCTGATGTATCTGTTGATACAAGGAATAAAAGAATTGAATATTATTATACTATAGGTTAAAAATTTATTTCCGAAACAAGTGCCTGTGTTATTATTATACTATAGGTTAAAAATTTATTTCCGAAACAAGTGCCTGTGGTGCACATACGTTTTTAAAATCAAAATTAATGGTATATAATTGTTTAACATCTAATTTGCTGATATTATACGATCAGGCCGATTGCTATTTCTTTGTTTAAAAATTTTATTATACAAAACATTGTCAATGATATATAATTCTATAATGATATTATAGAATTATACCTATTCCTTTTTATATAGATTTTATTATGCAAAACGCTGCTATTATTCGCGAAACATTCAATGGTAAATTACTTCCATATATAAGTTCTTCGAAAAATTCGAGACCTTCCTTCTTAATTTTTATTTAATGTTCTGTCTGTTTGAAATTGAAGATTTTAATCGAATCATAAATATTAAAACTGAATATATGTATTTTTTAAAGAATAAATCATAAATATTAATATCACTTCCTTTATATGGGTTTTACCTTGTTGAGTTAATAGAACTGGTTTCATGATTAAAATTCCACGATACGGCTCGATTTTCAACAGGCGAGGGTCTATATTCATCACCTTTGGTCTCAGTTATCAAAGTTTGAAATAACCCTGGAGAAAATTTTCAACTCTGGACAAATTTCTTTGTTACAATGGCCTTTTTATGACTTCAGCATTATTGTAAAGGAAGTCGACTTAATTTATGCTGGTTGTATTTTTGGGAAATTCTCGTTTGTCCTTGACGCAATACAGCGACCATCAGGACCGACGACCAGTGAACAGACAACATTCATTTGATGTAGACAATGAATAGTAATCCAGCTCAAAGATCCATCGGATAATGACAATTTGGAGCAAATTTTAAGCAAGCACTGGCCTTTTAAAAAAGTTAATAGTGGAATCAGGTGACATGAGGGAGGAAGCATTCCCTGTTGGCTAATGACGCCCGCTGTGTGCTCATTATTATGATCGGGCGAAAGAAAAATTTGTACACTGAAAAAATAACCAGTTAAAGTCACTAAATGAGAGGACTAGTAAATTTACTGTCCATACAATCAATACCTCAAAATTAGTTTTACTAGATATTGGGTAGATTTACTATATAGATAGCATTAGTAAATCTAGAATTTATAATTCACTGGGTTGGTATGTATCTATACGACCCCCGTTCCACGTGACACCTACTATCCACTATCGTAACTAGTAAACAGAATGATTACTAATCACGACGAACGCTTTACAAGGCACACTGGTTAAATTTACTAGGTACTGTATATCTTTCAGTTTAGTTGATTCAGTGTGGAAAATTGTACGAAAAACGTCTGTCAAATTTGACTTAACAAAATACATGTACATTATTTTCGTGGTTGCTAAGTACATGTACATATAGGCCATTGTATCGACTATAGAATTTGCGAATTGTTGACTAATGGGACTGATCCTATCAACTTATTTGTAACTTGCTTGCATCGTTTCAGAATTAAATTGTTCAAATCGTATGAACTGGGAGACATTAAAGCTTCATATGCAGATAATAATGGAAAATTGTAACATAAGTTAGAGACCGGAGGTGGACAATGGAAAGTTACAAAATCAAGTTTTGTGAGGTTGTAACACAGGCACTTGTTTCGGAAATAAATTTTTAACCTATACTATATATTAAAAATTTATTTCCGAAACAAGTGCCTGTGACATATTTCTAGTGGGTTTTTTAGCTCTACTGGTCAGAGACCAGAAGAGCTTATGCGATAGTAATGCGTCCGTCGTCCGTCCGTCTGTCTGTCTGTCCGTCTGTCTGTCTGTCTGTCTGTCTGTCTGTAAACAATTTTTCAAAATGCTACTCCTCCTACAGTTTTGGTCCGATTTCAATATAACTTGGCACACAAGTAGACTACACTAAGATACATAATTTTGTGCATCGGTTTTTGATTTCGATGAACGGTGTTGCCGTGGTTACTAAAAATAGAAATTTCTGTGAAATTCTTTCAAAATGCTACTCCTCGTACAGTTTTGGTCTGATTTCAATATAACTTGGCACAAAAGTAGACTACACTAAGATACATAATTCTGTGCATCGGTTTTTGATTTCGATGAACGGTGTTGCCGTGGTTACTAAAAATAGAAATTTCTTTGAAATTCTTTCAAAATGCTACTCCTCCTACAGTTTTGGTCCAATTTCAATATTACTTGGCACACAAGTAGACTACACTAAAATACATAATTCTGTGCATCGGTTTTTGATTTCGATGAATGGTGTTGCCGTGGTTACTAAAAATAGAAATTTCTTTGAAATTCTTTCAAAATGCTACTCCTCCTACAGATTTGGTCCGATTTCAGTATAACTTGGCACACAAGTAGACTATACTAAGATACATAATTCTGTGCATCGGTTTTTGATTTCGATAAACGGTGTTGCCGTGGTTACTTAAAATAGAAATTTCTGTGAAATTCTTTCAAAATGCTACTCCTCCTACAGTTTTGGTCTGATTTTGATATAACTTGGCATACAAGTAGACTACACTAAGATACATAATTCTGTGCATCGGTTTTTGATTTCAATGAGCAATGTTGCCATGGTTACTAAAAATAGAAATTTCTGTGAAATTCTTTCAAAATGCTACTCCTCCTGCAGTTTTGGTCTGATTTCAGTATAACTTGGCACACAAGTACAGCTGTAGACTATACTAAGATACATAATTCTGTGCATTGGTTTTTATTTTGATGAGTGGCAAGGATCATTTTTCTATTTATTGCTGATTTAAAGTCTCAAGTCCCAACTGCTACTTTTCTCTTCCTTTGTTTTAAGTATAAACCAGTAGAGCTACAGTCTCGACAGAGACTTCTGGTTTTTTTTAATTTTGAGTTCAAAGAATTTATCAATAAACGTAGGGATGAAAATAAATATTGTTAATTGGGGAAAAAATGTCGTCTTTATCGAAATGTCAAATTGAAGGCCACAACAAGAGACTTCTTCCTTTCATCTAGAATTTAAAAATCAATTCTGCTTTATATAATTCCAGAAATAGGCCTGCTAATAATGGTACCGATGGGAATTCCAAAAGATTATTAAAAGTTCTGCAAGAATTATATAAAATTTTATCAATCCAGAAGCTGAATTAAGCATCATTTTAACAAGAAGACTTCGTGCATAATTAGCTATTTTTCCAGAATAAAAAAGTTTATTTTAAAAAGCGTTCTTAAAAATTTGGTACTTCTGTTTACTCTGATTAGTTAACCATATATCACGTTAAGCACTATTGATAATTAATATATGGAAACGTTTTTAAAAACGTCCATAGGTCCATATGTTTCAAATGTTTTTCCGTCTTCTTTTCCGTCACTGATTCGAGTTTTAGTCATCTCTATTTATAAAACTTTTCAATGACGTTGATTTGTTTTGCTTTTTATGGTTCATTCATTCATTCATTCTATCTTTATTTCCCCCCGTAGGAGATTGCATGAATATGAACATTTCAAATCATATAAACATTACAAAAGGAAAATAGGAAAAATAAATACATATCAATTAGGAGGGAAAAAAAATAAATGTGTACATTATATTACATTAGGAAAGAACAAGGTTGCAGACTAGAGCGATATACAAGGTAGGGAAAAAAAACTAGGTTGCTAACAGTAAGTATAGACAGGTCATTCTGTTCTCCTACGCAACTGTCTGTTAAACCATGCTGCAGTATCCCTTAGGAAACGAAAATTCAACATATGTAAGCTGGGACCATCAAAATGAGATAAGGTGCTTGAGATTAATCTAGCACCTAGCAGAAAAAGGTATAGGTCATGTGGACTGAGACCGGAAAGTTCGGCATTTAATATGATATTAAAGTATTAAAAACGTCCATAGGTCCATATGTTTCAAATGTTTTTCCGTCTTCTTTTCCGTCACTGATTCGAGTTTTAGTCATCTCTATTTATAAAACTTTTCAATGACGTTGATTTGTTTTGCTTTTTATGGTGTAAGACGTCAGAAAAATAGTTTGTTTTGATTGAAAAAAAACGAAGAATTGGTGAGTTTATGGGCACATTTTTTAAGTTTTTTTGTGGATATAGATATAACTCTGAAATAGTTTGTGATATATACGTTGTAGTTTGTACACTAGCCGAACAAGAAACGAGGAGAATTGTCATTGCTCAGCAGACGTTCTTGTCAATATTTTTATTTATACAAATCCGTTTATCAGCTGCTTTTATTAATCCGTTGTACATGTAGATATATATTATTTTCTATTCAGAAATACGCATCATGTATGGACACTCGATATCCCCTGTACATTAAACATGGCTGCATGTGTCAAAATTAAAAAATAATTTCATCTGTTTGGCAAATGAATAATTTACTTCACACAATGTGATCAGTGATGAATCATGAGCAAACTAAGTTTAATTGAAATACTTAAAAATCCTCAGCTGAAATTTTGCAATAATTATTGGATGTAACTGTTTTGGGGCCTGCCACTTCTGAATCACCACACAACAAAATTTCTAATGAAGGGACAATTGTAGCACAATGAGGTCTTCCTAACAATTTTCAATCTCAAAAGTATTTTATTCTAGCAATTCTTTTTTCTTTTGGACTATTAACCTTGCCCTTTCTGCCCATGGTTTGTTTGGTTTACAGTCAACTCGTACACAAACTGTCTCGTACACGAACCGAGTCGTACACAAAAAGTCAGCTCGTACACAAGTCAAAAGTCAACTCGTACACAAACTGATGTCATTTGTACATAGTTCCCTATGTGATTTAATGTATAGTTTTTCTCAGTGTTAAGAAATTGAGGAGTGAACTTGTACACAAAGGGTTTTTTTTTGTACATTTTAATCTTTTTATGCCGCTGATGCTGATTTTACCTATACCTTATGCGCAGATTGGGTTTTTTTTATTATAAGGTTTTTTGCGACGTAAATCTTGGGCGTCAACTCATACACATTTTTCGTTATTTAAATATACATTTATTTGATACATAAATGAGAAGTCCCGTTTTTTTTTATTCTGTAAATTTAATTGTAAATTAAAATATCTTATTAAACAACATAATCAGATCGATTCAATATAATTGAATTTGATTTAAACATCACCACAAGATAATATGTGAATTTTACATTTTAAAATTATAGTCTTCGGCTTTTATGCAAGTAATATGTGGATATAAATATAACTTAATTTAGGTAAGAAATTTAGAAATTTTATGGCACCATAACGTATACCATTATTCAATGTAGACAGTAAATACGATCGAAATACATCGTAAGATTTTTATGCCAATATGGTATATCATATCATTGCATACAATTTAAAAAAAAAAACTTATCAAATTAAAAACAAAGAAGCTTTTTTTTTTTTTACTATAGACAGTTTTACGGCAGGATAAACACTTCTCTCACACCATGGGGAAGATAAAGAAATGAAGAAATTGGGACCAAATTAGGAGTATTTCGTAATTAGCGTTTGTCACAAATCAAAGAAACCGCCGCGCTTGTGTTAGTTTAACAATAATTGTTTATACACATGTATTACCAATAAGAGAAGCCACGGTCAATTTCAAATGTTATAAAACCACAAAGGTATTCGTGAAAAAATCTAAAAATTTAACACTTCTCCTTGTCCATATTTCATTTTTTCTAGATTATACATTATTTATATAAAAATAATTCTTAACTATTGTAAATAAAACGTTGTGTACGAGTTGACTTCTGATTTGTGTACGAGCTGACTTCTGATTTGTGTACGAGTTGACTTTTTGTGTACGACTTGGTTTGTGTACGAGACGGTTTGTGTACGAGTTGACTGGACACCGTTTGTTTTGATATTGTATCTGATGAAAATTAATAAACAACACACCTGAATAGATATTACATCTACATGATAACATCACAATTCACAGATGGCTGCATGGTTATTTTAATCAATAGCAAAAACTGTAAATTGCATCATTAAAAATGCATATTACTAAAGTGAAAATCATGATTGAAGTTCTTGGTAATTGCAAATAGGGTAAAGACTAATGCTATTTTAACGAATACTTTTTGAATGACTCTGTACCTTCTTCCCAATTGTTTTTCATTATAGTCACGATACCCTCACCTCCAAAAATATATTTTAGAAATCATTTTCTACAGGTTCATAGGGCTGTCTTAAGGCAATGTAAGTCAGATTTGGCATGGTTTGATAGACAGATGGCAGACTACCAGACACAGTATCAACCCCTGGGGTCAGGGGAGGAGGATACAGACGAGAATGATGCCCCTCCTAACGAGGCTGCCAACTTGATGATTCATGTGGTCCCAGAAAGCAGTATGTATCCGTTAATACTGGACTGGTTAACAATGTAAATAGGAAAGTGAAAGTCATGCGCAATTTAACTGCATGTATTTTTTGAACATTTTTAGCTCTACTGGTCAGAGACCAGAAGAGCTTATGCGATAGTAATGCGTCCGGCGTTTTGTCTGTCTGTTTGATATTTTATGTCCGTCTGTCTGTAAACAATTTTTCAAAACGCTACTCCTCCTACAATTTTAGTCTGATTTCAATATTACTTGGCACACAATTAGACTACACTAAGATACATAGAATAGTGCATCGGTTTTTGATTTCGATGAACGGTGTTGCCATGGTTACTAAAAATAGAATTTTCTGTGAAATTCCTTTAAAACGCTACTCCTTCTACAGTTTTTGTCTGATTTCAATATAACTTGGCACACAAGTAGACTACACTAAGATACATAGAATAGTGCATCGGTTTTTGATTTCGATGAACGGTGTTGCCATGGTTACTAAAAATAGAATTTTCTGTGAAATTCCTTTAAAACGCTACTCCTTCTACAGTTTTGGTCTGATTTCAATATAACTTGGCACACAAGTAGACTACGCTAAGATACATAGAATAGTGCATCGGTTTTTGATTTCGATGAATGGTGTTGCCATGGTTACTAAAAATAGAATTTTCTGTGAAATTCCTTCAAAATGCTACTCCTTCTACAGTTTTTGTCTGATTTCAATATAACTTGGCACAGAAGTAGAATACACTAAGATACATAGAATAGTGCATCGGTTTTTAATTTCGATGAACGGTGTTGCCATGGTTACTAAAAATAGAATTTTCTGTGAAATTCCTTAAAAACGCTACTCTTTCTACAGTTTTTGTCTGATTTCAGTATAACTTGGTACACAAGTAGACTACACTAAGATACATAGAATAGTGCATCGGTTTTTGATTTCAATGAACGGTGTTGCCATGCTTACAAAAAATAGAATTTTCTATGAAATTCCTTTAAAACGCTACTCCTTCTACAGTTTTGGTCTGATTTCAATATAACTTGGCACACAAGTAGACTACACTAAGATACATAGAATAGTGCATCGGTTTTTAATTTCGATGAACGGTGTTGCCATGGTTATTGAAAATAGAATTTTCTGTGAAATTCCTTAAAAACGCTACTCTTTCTACAGTTTTTGTCTAATTTCAGTATAACTTGGTACACAAGTAGACTACACTAAGATACATAGAATAGTGCATCGGTTTTTGATTTCGGTGAACGGTGTTGCCATGGTTACTAAAAATAGAATTCTACAGTTTTGGTCTGATTTCAAAATAAGTTGGCACACAAGTAGACTACACAAAGATACATAAAATAGTGCAATGGTTTTTGATAAGTACAAACCAGTAGAGCTACAGTCTCGACAGAGACTTCTGGTTGTATTACATGACTGTGCAATCTGTTTGATGACCATTAATAGATATCTAATTAAATATGTAGTGTATAAATATAATCATGTATTATATTTACACATTCACAAAATGTGAGTTAGAATAATAAATCATATTATTTCTTGGAATTTTCATCCAATTGAAAAGAAGCTTATTTGAGAGAATCCCTGGTTTAAGAAATATGTCACATAAATTACAATGACTATGATTTTCTTATTCATCAATTTCATCTTTTGATTATTTGGTATTAAAATTGAGATCGTCATTTGATACATCTCTCTTTTTTTAAGCTCGATGGAACCACATAGAAAATCTGGATGAATTCTTCACTCGTGTTTACCAATATCACCAGAGAGGGGGGTTTATGTGTATGATGCTCAGTGATATTCTCCAGCTTGTGTAAGTGCAGCCTTCTTATACATGTATGTGGAAACATTTAAAACTATTCAGCCATAGAAACTGTTTAAATATTAGGTCACATACTGCTAAATAAACTTCAACAGTGGTTTTATTATAAAACATGTAAATGGAAGATTATCTAAGTTTCTATTGCACAGACCCAGACTTGACACAAAGCATGTTTATATTCCATATTATTTGGATAATAGGTATAGATAGAATTCTTCACTACTCCTCCAAAACATTAGAGGTGGGATCAGGTGTCATGGAGGATTGAGCATCCCCTGCTGACAGGTCACACCTGCTGTTGTTGCTCCATGTCATGATTGGGGAATAACGGAAAAATCTTTTGTCAATTTAGTGTATAAATAATGGACTAACAATGAGTTTGAAAAAATGTCAGTCAGCATTTGACTCAATGATATATTGTATTTGCCGACAAGGTCATTTTATCAATCATAGAATGATGAGTTTAAATGAGACTACTGAAATTCTTGTTCCATCAACTTGTTTGTAAATAATTTACCTCGTTTTAGAAACTGTTCATACGTAGAGCATGCTCTTGTTTATCGAATCAACTGAGAGTGAGAGGTATAAAATCTGAATGCAGGTGATGAAGATATACATGTATTGCTGCATAAATAAGCGAAGTTGACGATTGTAAAGTTATCATGTTTATAGTAGAGCTTGGTTGTAAGACATAGCTTTCAAAAATTTGATTGCGTTCCCACATTAACAAGCTTAATAACTAAGACTTTTTTTCTGTTCTTCAGACAATTCCTCTTTGTGATAGGATTTTCTACATTTCTGTTGGAGTGTGTGAATTATGACATTCTTTTTGCTAATTCCAAGAATGACACACACAAAGTCACCATTCCAGAGGCTGTCACACCATTTAATCAGTGTGTAAAACAGTAAGTCTTATATTCCTAAACTTTTTGTTTGATGCCTATGTATATCAGTAGTATTGTATTTGTTACTTAACAGTAAATAAATTAGTCTGCAGTATGTGTGTGAGGACCGGTAAGGTGACAATATCAATAAACTTCTTAGTAATATCTACACTTTATATTTTGCTAAAATCCCCATGTTCCCTATCATGAGGTCATCATTTTTAGCTCTACTGGTCAGAGACCAGAAGAGCTTATGCGATAGTATGGTGTCCCTGTCTGTCTGTCCGTCTATCTGTAAACAATTTTTCAAAACGCTACTCCTCCTACAATTTAAGTCTGATTTCAATATAACTTGGCACACAAGTAGACTACACTAAGATACATGAAATAGTGCTTCGGTTTTTGATTTCGATGAACGGTGTTGCCATGGTTACTAAAAATAGAATTTTCTGAGAAATTCCTTTAAAACGCTACTTCTTCTACAGTTTTGGTCTGATTTCAATATTTCTTGGCACACAAGTAGACTACACTAAGATACATAAAATAGTGCATTGGTTTTTGATTTCAATGAACGATGTTGCCATGGTTACTAAAAATAGAATTTTCTGAGAAATTCCTTTAAAACGCTCCTCCTTCTACAGTTTTAGTCTCATTTCAATATCACATGGCACACAAGTAGACTACATTAAGATACATAAAATAGTGCATCTGTTTTTGATTTCGATAAGCGGTGTTGCCATGGTTACTAAAAATAGAATTTTCTGTGAAATTCCTTTAAAACGCTACTCCTTCTACAGTTTTTGTCTCATTTCAATATCACATGGCACACAAGTAGACTACACTAAGATGCATAAAATAGTGCATCGGTTTTTGATTTCGATGAGCGGTGTTGCAATGGTTACTAAAAATAGAATTTTCTGTGAAATTCCTTTAAAACGCTACTCCTTCTAAAGTTTTGGTCTGATTTCAATATTACTTGGCACACAGGTAGACTACACTAAGATACATAAAATTGTGCATCGGTTTTTGATTTCGATGAACGATGTTGCCGTGGTTACTAAAAATAGAATTTTCTAAGAAATTCCTTTAAAACGCTACTCCTTCTACAGTTTTAGTCTCATTTCAATATCACTTGGCACACAAGTAGACTACACTAAGATACATAAAATAGTGCATCGGTTTTTGATTTCGATGAACGATGTTGCCATGGTTACTAAAAATAGAATTTTCTGTGAAATTCCTTTAAAACGCTACTCCTTCTACAGTTTTAGTCTCATTTCAATATCACTTGGCACACAAGTAGACTACACTAAGATACATAAAATAGTGCATCGGTTTTTGATTTCGATGAGCGGTGTTGCAATGGTTACTAAAGGTAGAATTTTCTGAGAAATTCCTTTAAAACACTACTCCTTCTACAATTTTGGTCTGATTTCATTATCACTTGGCACACAAGTAAACTACATTAATTTACATATAATAGTGCATCGGTATTTGATTTAAATGAACGGTGTTGCCATGGTTACTAAAAGTAGAATTTTCTGTGGAATTCCTTTAAAATGCTACTCCTTCTACAGTTTTGGTCTGATTTCAATATAACTTATCACATATGTAGACTACACTAAGATACATACCAGGGTAATTCTGTGCATCAGTTTTTGATCAGTACAAACCAGTACTGTGACAGAGACTTCTGGGAAAGAAAAAAAAGTTACCCAAACTTGAAAATCCTATTGTTGGGGTGGGGGTTAGGTCAAGTCTTCTACATTCAACTTTACTTCATGCATTACCATATTTCCCTTATTTGAGACATGTTAAAAAAATTACTACAGTTCTCTGCAACAAATAGTGGGGGCTTAAAATGATCACTTTCATGAGTTAATGGATATGTGAAGTAAAGAAATTGGGTTTGAGACACTCTCAACTTCCTCATAGTGTTTGCCTGGAAATACATTTATGTATGAAAATGACTTACTATCAACACTTTGACATTTATATTCACTACAGGTTTGACTTTGGGATTGTTTTCTGTCTGCTGGTGGCCATAGCCTTCTGGTTTTTCCGTACACTTAAAGTTCTCTACAACATCTTTAAGTACTGGGAAATTCGTTCTTTCTATCTTACAGCATTACACATATGTACTGTAAGTAAAAAAAAATTGATAGTGATAATTATGCATAACTACAAGCTTCTGCAATACCTGATTTGATTGTAATGAGATCATTCAAATTTTTAATAGTGAACCTTGAAAAGGATAATCTAACCATTCTAACCATTGATCCAGAAATGACAAAAATTGACAAAAAAACATCCACAAGTTACATGAGTTATGAATTAATGTTTGTTAATATATTGCATTCTGGCCAATGACATTGAATCCTCTCAAGAAGTAAGATTAACAAAAAATTGGCCTTGTAATGAAAATGAGTTACATGTATTTGTTTGTTTTGGGTTAAGAGGGAAACGGATAAAAACTGGGGTCTGTTTCTTGATGAACTTTGTGAAGGTCTCTCATGAAATTAATTAATTAGCCTATCTTAACTTAAAAATTTAAGGAAAAAGTAAATCTGAAGAAAGCTTATTTCTGAGAGCTCATTGTAGACTGATTTGACAAACATGACTTGGCATGAAGTCCAAAGACGTTTATTGGAGGTTCAGAAAGAGCAGCAGATGTGTATCCACAAACAGGAGCTCACAGAACTAGGTAGAGTATTGACTGTAAACTGTCATCCATAAACAGGAGCTCACAGAACTAGGTAGAGTATTGACTGTAAATTGTCATCCACAGACAGGGGCTCACTGAACTAAGTAGAGTATTGACTGTAAACTGTCATCCACAAACAGGGGCTCACTGAACTAGGTTGAGTATTGACTGTAAACTGTCATCCACAAACAGGGGCTCACTGAACTAGGTAGAGTATTGACTGTAAACTGTCATCCACAAACAGGAGCTCACAGAACTAGGTAGAGTATTGACTGTAAACTGTCATCCACAAACAGGGGCTCACTGAACTAAGTAGAGTATTGACTGTAAACTGTCATCCACAAACAGGGGCTCACTGAACTAGGTTGAGTATTGACTGTAAACTGTCATCCACAAACAGGGGCTCACTGAACTAAGTAGAGTATTGACTGTAAACTGTCATCCACAAACAGGGGCTCACTGAACTAGGTAGAGTATTGACTGTAAATTGTCATCCACAAACAGGTGCTCACTGAACTAGGTAGAGTATTGACTGTAAACTGTCATCCACAAACAGGGGCTCACTGAACTAGGTTGAGTATTGACTGTAAATTGTCATCCACAAACAGGAGCTCACCAAACTAAGTAGAGTATTGACTGTAAACTGTCATCCACAAACAGGTGCTTACAGAACTAGGTAGAGTATTGACTGTAAACTGTCATCCACAAGCAGGAGTATTGACTCACAGAACTAGGTAGTCTAGAGTATTGACTGTAAATTATCATCCACAAACAGGGGCTCACTGAACTAGGTAGAGTATTGACTGTAAACTGTCATCCACAAACAGGTGCTCACCAAAATAGGTAGTGTATTGACTGTAAACTGTCATCCACAAACAGGTGCTCACTAAACTAGGTAGAATATTGACTGTAAACTGTCTTCCACAAACAGGTGCTTACAGAACTAGGTAGAGTATTGACTGTAAACTGTCATCCACAAACAGGAGTATTGACTGTAATTGAACAATATTTATACCCCCCGCTTGAAAAGTGGGAGGTTATACTGTAATCAGTATGTCTGTCCGTCCGTCTGTATGTCTGTCTAGCTGTACGTACGTCCATCCATCCATCTGTTACGCTTTAGGGTACCCATCTCTTATCCGCAACTCCTCTTATACCACTGAGTGAAATTTAATGAAACTTTCACAGAATCTTTATTACATATTGCCATTGTGCACCTCCTATTTTACTTTTTGATCCGACACATATTTTGGGTTTCCCAGCCACAGCAAAACATGGATTATGTCATCAGTTATAACCATATGGGGGGGGGGGTATCATTTAGTGAGCTCATTGCTCACAGTACCTCTAGTTGACTCAGGTATCATGCTGTGGCAAGGCACTTTATTTTTCCCAGGTACACACCTCTGACCTGAATCTTTGTACAGTTTACTTTGTCTTACTGTACCGTATGTTTAAAAAGTCTTGACGGAATATATGATCTCTAGATGTAGAATGATTTTTTTCATTATAATACTGAATTTAAACTGAAATAATATTAGATTTTTCATGTTTTTGTAGATATATATCACAGGATTCTTAGGTTTAAGAATTATATGATCGCCATGGAAAGAAAATCTCTGCTTCCACTTAAACATGACATACCTTTCATTGGAGACTGGTAAGTAAAAAAAAATAAGTACCGGTATTATGATGCATAAAAAACTTGGTCTTTAAATGCCAGAATAACATTTCTGACCCGTTTCCCCCCAAAAAAATTTCACTGTGGTGTAGACTAACTTTAAAGGGATGGTGTCTACAGAAATAAGTTTTTTGCTCAAGGCTGTTCCAGAGTAGCTGTGTAAATATGATTTCTGGATTGAACTAGAACAGTTGATGTATAATATGCAATCTTGAAAATTTGTTTTGATGAAAGAGGAAAAAAGTGATTGGGATAAAGACAACTTACATTCATTTTTTTTTCTTTTCTTTCAGTGCCTTCTATAGCATTGGATTAAAATACAACCTGGACTTTATACTCTTCTGTAAGTAAACTTCACTACAGAGCACTATACTTCACTATGTAAGTAAATTATTCTCATACACTGCTGTACAGTAAAGTTCATCTTTTCAGTTGAAGTAAACTCTCATTTCCTCTTTGGCCTAATTGATTTATTGGTTATTGCTAAATGCCCAATATGCAGGATTTCAGACATATTGTGGTGATATGTGGCCCTATCATGGCTGTGTAATGAATGCCCTAATTAAGAGTGACTAGTTATTTACTACCTGAGATTGTGATGTAACCTTGACCAAAGGTCATTTGTTCAAGGTTTTCTTCATGATAATATATATTTCCTCTTCAGTCCATAAATCTCTAATGGAAATGTATATTTTAAGTTCATGCATACTGAATACAAAGATTATTTTATGATCAGTGGTGTGTCAGGACATTAAACCAATGTTTTTTAGCTACTTCAAGTTTTTTTCCCTGTTTCATATTCTTTTGTAATGGATAACATTGGAAGATGATTTTTGCACAAAGACCTCTGTTTAGCAGAGACTGTTATAGGACCTTGGCCCAAAAGGTCTAAATGTTCAAGGTCACTGGCTTAAGTGTATAACCTGAGTCTGTCTGTAGAAATGACCACTCTTTGGTTGTATGAGATTATTAAAAACATCTTGTTTTGTTTCTGATCTAGGGGGACCCTGGTCACCTTTTGAAAATTATTGGAAATTAAAAGATGAATACAAAATTTATCACAGGAGAAAACAATTAGCAGAGGAGTAAGTATAGAATGGTGAGAGAGAGAGAGAGGGGGGGGGAAGAGAAAGGGGACAGATTTTATCATAAAACAATACATTTCATAAAGGTTTCCAGATTTTTAAGTACTTTCTGCTTTAGCATTAAGTACCAAAATTATATGAAATAAACTTTTCCTTTGCACACCTCATAAGTAATCAAAAAGTGAATTTATGTTTTGATACTTCTTGCAACATAACACCCAGTGTAGTAGAAAATTAATCTGTTACATGTATACTCATAAAAAAAATAGTATTTTGTTGATTGTACTCTGGGTCAGATGTTAAAAAAACCCATAAATTTTAGGGATCTTAGTTTTAGATTATAAAATTAAGGTTAAAGATACAAATTAAATCTAGGTCATGTATTAGAATTGAAATAAAGTTTTTTCTGCTTTCAGCTTGTCAAAAAAGATCCTTTGGATTGGAATCGCTAATTTTGCTTTGAGTCCCCTGATTCTCATGTGGCAGATACTCTACTCATTCTTCCGATATGCTGATGTAAGTAACAATTGTACCATATCTTTTCAGGACATTTTTATATTTTAAAAAATTATAACCTTCAAAAACCTTTTTCATTGACCTAAGAGATTGCGAAGCAGGGTCATTGTTAATTTCCTCAAATGTCCATTTCATTAAAATTTATCTATTACAATCAGCATTTTTTTTACTGTAAATCAGTAAATTTTCATGACACCTTATTTTATTTGCTCCTATTTAATTTAAATAACTTTTTATTGCTTGCGAAAATTTCACTCTCACACATATTAGAATTCCTTAAGTTTATATAGAGTGATACTTTATTATAGCACACTTCCTTATGTAATTATAGAAAACAAAGTTCTCACAAATGAAAAGTGATTTAAAGTAAATGAATGTAAAATTTTTATCTTTTCAGACTCTTAAAAGAGAACCTTCAATGTTAGGATCAAGAAGATGGTGAGTTTTATCAAGAATTGAATTTGGATAAAATTTAAATTCTTTGTCCTGACAACATGCATACGCTATGGTAATATTCTGCTTTGAGAGCTCAAGTTAACTTAATTTCTATAATTATGCTGATATATCAGTAAAATTACAGAATACAAATACAGATGCAGTTCTAGTATGAAAACTATCATAGAAATGATTTTCTATTACAAAAACCATGAAAAAATGTGGTAAAAATAAAGAAACAAGTTTGACTTTATGGTAGACCTAAATAGATTATTCTGAGTATTAATCTTGAAACTGATTTAAAAGTCATTTAAAGTTTAAAAGGTGAATGGGTATTTTTTTTTTATAATTTATGAATCATATCTGCTCCTCAACATTATTATTATAACAATATATATTTTATATGATAATAAACAATGCCCTCTCTACAAAATAATGAAAGTCCCAAATGTGTACAATGTAGATACAGTCAAACTTCGTTATCTCGAACCTGATGGGACTGAGAAAAAACTTCGAGATATCCAAGGATTCGAGATATCGAAGGTTAAATACTTAGAGAATGTGTGGTTGGGACTTCCAAATCACTTCGATAGAGCCATGGTATTCGAGATATCGGAGTTCGAGACACCGCAGCTCAACTGTACATGAATAGGGTTAAGGTGTCTCTGTGAGGTCATTTAATTACCCAGGATAGATTGAAAATGCTTACATCTGCAAAATCTCTAGCAGCTTCTTTTTTTTCTTTTCTTTTAACTTTTGGAAATCTACCAAACAATCTTTTTCATGTTGTGGAAGTAAAGTTGAAGCAATCTGAACGGGTTTGATAATTTTGTACAAATGTGACCAAGATTTATATTTATCTTATACACATTAATTTAAGAAAAACAAATTTTCAGGTCAAATTATGCAAGGTTGTACCTTCGACATTATAATGAATTGGACCATGAATTTGATGCAAGGTAGGAGACTTATCCTCATAGCAAGTTTCTACTTCATTCTTAAGCTCTAAGTTTCATATTTGAGCTTAAATGCATGAAGTCCAACAGAAAACATCTTTCATTAACAGAACTGTCTTTAATATGATTTCATTGCAGAAGGATCAAGTTAATTATTTGTTCTTAATAGAATGTGACCTTACTGAAATTGTGTTCTTTTTTCTTTAAATTTCTGGATTTAAGACCCAATAATAGTATGTATCATGAAACATTATCTTAAGTTCAGAATTAAGGGCACTCAGACAGAATTTAACAAGGAAATATTTTATCCAAGGGAATAAAATGATCATGAAAAGGATATCATTATGATTTAAAATGAACTAAAATTACATCTTATTGTAAAAAGTAATAACTAGTTCATTTAAATCATTGATTTGGTTTTATTTGGTTTTAATATATCTATGAACAAATTATGATTCATTTTCTTAAATGTTTCAGTACAACATTTTTTTCTTTTACAGGTTAAATAGAAGCTATCGTTTAGCAAACAAATATATGGATATCTTTACTTCACAGCTTATAGTCATACTTGCAAAGTAAGTCTTTTTCTGTTATTAGCTCTTGTTGCCTTTTTCAACACACATTGCTGATTATGATACATGTACCAGCTTATATTGGCAGGATTTCAACTTTATCAACCACATAATGTATCTTAAAAGACAGCCTGTTTAATACAAATTAAGTTTCAACCATTCACTACTGGATGAAAAAATACATTCTGGCACAAAGAGGGTAGATTGGGTGAGATGAGGTGCGGTGTAAATATTAAACTGCCTTTGGACAATATTTTGTACCATTCCTGTATTCATAGTATGGGGTATGAAAGAAAACAAAATGAGCATATACACTCTACACATAGGTTTAATTTGTAAGACACTGTGCCATAAAGTTTGAAACATAATGAAAGGGAAACAGTGGTTATGCAGTTGACCCCAAATTGACCCTGCAAAGGGAAGTAACTATAGTGAATTTGAATGACATCTATATAAGGCCAAAAAAAATTAATTTCTTGGTTCTCAGGCCCTCCCTCATCTCTTCCAAGGGTGCCTCATTGACCCTTTTTATTGCTAAATCAATAAAATAAAAAAAATAAATCACCTCCCTCATCATTTTTTTGGGGTTTTATACAATGTAAAAAGCTGCCTCATCATGTTTTGGGGGCAATAAAAAAGAAAAAAAATGCCTCCCTCCCTCATCATATTTCTTGCAAAAAGGCCTGAGAACCAATGAATTAACTTTGCATGGCCTAATTATCATTTTTAGCTCACCTGAGCCGAAGGCTCAAGTGAGCTTTTCTGATCACATTTTGTCCGTCTGTCTGTCTGTCTAGCTGTCTGTCCGTCTGTAAACTTTTCACATTTTCGACTTCTTCTCAAGAACCGCTGGGCCAATTTCAACCAAACTTTCCACAAAGTATCCTTGGGTGAAGGGGATTCAAGTTTGTTCAAATGAAGGGCCACGCCCTCATTCAAGGGGAGATAATTGGAAATTAATGAAAATTTAATGGTATGTTTTAAAAATCTTCTTCTAAAGAACCACTGGGCCAGGAAAGATGAAACTTATGGGGAAACATCCTCAGGTAGTGTAGATTCAAGTTTGTTCAAATCATGACCCCCGGGGTTGTCCGGGGCCACAATGGCCGACCAAAGTTTTACATAGAAATATATAGGAAAATTCTTTAAAAATCAAAGCCATAATTGATCAGATTTATATGGAAGCATTGTCATGTAGTGTAGATTCAAATTTGTTCAAATGATGACCCCCAGGGGTAGGGCGGGGCCACAATGGCCGACCAAAGTTTAACATAGAAATATGTATGAAAATTCTTTAAAAATCTTCTTCTCAAGAATAGCAAAGCCATAATTGATCATATTTATATGGAAGCATCGTCAGGTAGTGTAGATTCAAGTTTGTTCAAATCATGACCCCCGGGGGTAGGGCGTGGCCACAATGGCCAACCAAAGTTTTACATAGAAATATATGGGGAAAAAACTTCTAAATTCTTCTTCTCAAGAATCACTGGGCCAGAAAAGCTGAAAAAACTTATGTGGAAGCATCTTGGGGTAGTGTAGATTCTAAATTGTTCAAATCATGACCCCTTAGGGTAGGACAGGGGCCACAATGGGGAACCAAAGTTTTACATAGGAATATATTGGAAAAAAGTTTAAAAATCTTCTTCTCAAGAACCACTCAGCCAGAAAAGCTGAAACTTATGTGGAAGCATCCTGGGGTCCTGTAGATTCTTAATTATACAAATCATAACCCCTGGGGGTAGGGCGGGGCCCCAATAGGGAACCAAAGTTTTACATAGGAATATATTGGAAAAAACTTTTTTAAAAATTCTTCTCTGGAAGTACTGGACCAGAAAAGCTGAAACTTATGTGGAAGCATCCTGGGTTAGTGTAGATTTTAAATTCTTCAAATCATGATCCCCTGGGGTAGGGTGGGGCCACAAAAGAGAATCAAAGTTTTACATAGAAATATATAGGGAAAATCTTTAAAAATCTTCTCAAGAACCACTGGCTAAGAAAAGCTGAAACTTATGTGGAAGCATCTTGGGGTAGTGTAGATTCTAAATTGTTCAAATCATGACCCCCGGGGGTAGGGCAGGGCCACAATAGGGAATCAAAGTTTAAAATAGAAATATATGGGGAAAAAACTTCTAAATTCTTCTTCTCAAGAACCACTGGGCCAGAAAAGCTGAAACTTATGTGGAAGCATCTTGGTGTAGTGTAGATTCTAAATTGTTCAAATCATGACCCCTTAGGGTAGGACGGGGCCACAGTGGGGAACCAAAGTTTTACATAGGAATATATTGGAAAAAAGTTTAAAAATCTTCTTCTCAAGAACCACTGAGCCAGAAAAGCTGAAACTTATGTGGAAGCATCCTGGGGTTGTGTAGATTCTTAATTGTACAAATCATAACCCCTGGGGGTAGGGCGGGGCCCCAATAGGGAATCAAAGTTTTACATAGAAATATGTAGGAGAAAATTTTTAAATTCTTCTTCTCAAGAACCACTGGGCCAGAAAAGCTGAAACTTAAGTGGAAGCATCCTGGGGTCATGTAGATTCTTAATTATACAAATCATAACCCCTGGGGGTAGGGCGGGGCTCCAATAGGGAACCAAAGTTTTACATAGAAATATGTAGGGAAAAACTTTTTTAAAAATCCTTCTCAGGAAGTACTGGGCCACAAAAGCTGAAACTTATGTGGAAGCATCCTGGGGTTGTGTATATTTTAAACTTTTCAAATCATGATCCCCTGGGGTAGGGCGGGGCCACAAAAGGGAATCAAAGTTTTACATAGAAATATATAGGGAAAAAACTTTAAAAATCTTCTTCTCAAGAACCACTGAGCCAGAAAAGCTGAAACTTATATGGAAGCATTCTGGGGTAGTGTAGATTTTAAATTGTTCAAATCATGACCTCCGGGGGTAGGGTGGGGCCACATTAGGGAATCAAAGTTTCACATAGAAATTTGTTGCAAAAAACTTTTAAAATCTTCTTCTCAAGAACCACTGGGCCAGAAAAGCTGAAACTTATGTGGAAGCATCCTGGGGTCGTGTAGATTCTTAATTATACAAATCATAACCCCTGGGGGTAGGGCAGGGCTCCAATAGGGAACCAAAGTTTTACATAGAAATATGTAGGAAAAAACTTTTTTAAAAAATCCTTCTCAGGAAGTACTAGACCACAAAAGCTGAAACTTATGTGGAAGCATCCTGGGGTAGTGTATATTTTAAACTTTTCAAATCATGATCCCCTGGGGTAGGGCGGGGCCACAAAAGGGAATCAAAGTTTTACATAAAAATATATAGGGAAAAAACTTTAAAAATCTTCTTCTCAAGAACCACTGAGCCAGAAAAGCTGAAACTTATATGGTACATGTAGTATCTATTATAGTGTAGATTTTAAATTGTTCAAATCATGACCCCCGGGGGTAGGGCGGGGCCCCAATAGGGAACCAAAGTTTTACATAGGAATATATTGGAAAAAACTTTAAAAATCTTCTTCTCAAGAACCACTGGGCCAAAAAAGCTGAAACTTATGTGGAAGCATCTTGAGGTAGTGTAGATTCTAAATTGTTCAAATCATGACCCCTGGGGGTAGGGCAGGGCCACATTAGGGAATCAAAGTTTAAAATAGAAATATATGGGGAAAAAACTTCTAAATTCTTCTTCTCAAGAACCACTGGGCCAGAAAAGCTGAAACTTATGTGGAAGCATCTTGGTGTAGTGTAGATTCTAAATTGTTCAAATCATGACCCCTTAGGGTAGGACGGTGCCACAGTGGGGAACCGAAGTTTTACATAGGAATATATTGGAAAAAAGTTTAAAAATCTTCTTCTCAAGAACCACTGAGCCAGAAAAGCTGAAACTTATGTGGAAGCATCCTGGGGTTGTGTAGATTCTTAATTGTACAAATCATAACCCCTGGGGGTAGGGCGGGGCCCCAATAGGGAATCAAAGTTTTACATAGAAATATGTAGGAAAAAACTTTTAAATTCTTCTTCTCAAGAACCACTGGGCCAGAAAAGCTGAAACTTATGTGGAAGCATCCTGGGGTCATGTAGATTCTTAATTATACAAATCATAACCCCTGGGGGTAGGGCGGGGCTCCAATAGGGAACCAAAGTTTTACATAGAAATATGTAGGGAAAAACTTTTTAAAAAAAATCCTTCTCAGGAAGTACTAGACCACAAAAGCTGAAACTTATGTGGAAGCATCCTGGGGTTGTGTATATTTTAAACTTTTCAAATCATGATCCCCTGGGGTAGGGCGGGGCCACAAAAGGGAATCAAAGTTTTACATAGAAATATATAGGGAAAAAACTTTAAAAATCTTCTTCTCAAGAACCACTGAGCCAGAAAAGCTGAAACTTATATGGAAGCATTCTGGGGTAGTGTAGATTTTAAATTGTTCAAATCATGACCTCCGGGGGTAGGGTGGGGCCACATTAGGGAATCAAAGTTTCACATAGAAATTTGTTGCAAAAAACTTTTAAAATCTTCTTCTCAAGAACCACTGGGCCAGAAAAGCTGAAACTTATGTGGAAGCATCCTGGGGTCGTGTAGATTCTTAATTATACAAATCATAACCCCTGGGGGTAGGGCAGGGCTCCAATAGGGAACCAAAGTTTTACATAGAAATATGTAGGAAAAAACTTTTTAAAAAAATCCTTCTCAGGAAGTACTAGACCACAAAAGCTGAAACTTATGTGGAAGCATCCTGGGGTAGTGTATATTTTAAACTTTTCAAATCATGATCCCCTGGGGTAGGGCGGGGCCACAAAAGGGAATCAAAGTTTTACATAAAAATATATAGGGAAAAAACTTTAAAAATCTTCTTCTCAAGAACCACTGAGCCAGAAAAGCTGAAACTTATATGGAAGCATTCTGGGGTAGTGTAGATTTTAAATTGTTCAAATCATGACCCCCGGGGGTAGGGTGGGGCCACATTAGGGAATCAAAGTTTCACATAGAAATTTGTTGCAAAAAACTTTAAAAATCTTCTTCTCAAGAACCACTGGGCCAGAAAAGCTGAAACTTATGTGGAAGCATCCTGGGGTCATGTAGATTCTAAATTATTCAAATCATGACCCCCGGGGGTAGGGCGGGGCCACAATAAGGAACACAAGTTTTAAATTGAAATATATTGGAAAATACTTTAAAAATCCTCTTCACAGAAACTACTTGGCAAGAAAAGCTGAAACTTATGTGGAAGCATCCGTGTGTAGTGTAGATTTTAAATTGTCCAAATTATGACCAGTGTGGTAGGGTTGGGTCACAATATGTATTACATGTACAAGGGGGGAATTTGGTAAAGAACAGCATGCTCATAGGTACTCAGGTGAGCGATGTGGCCCATGGGCCTCTTGTTTTATTTAGATTTGCATACAATTATTTTTCTCATTTCTTTTCAGAAATGTGGCATTTTTTGCTGGTTCCGTTCTGGCCGTGCTGGTTGTGTTGACGGTGATTGATGAGGATGTTTTGGCTGTGGAGCATATCTTAACTACCATGACAATAGCGGGTATGCTAATCTTACAAATATAACAAACACAAAATTTTATAGACAGTAAAACAGGCTTATAGCAAAGTACCAGGGATATACAATCTGTATCATCAATTCATAAAAATACCTTAAAATAAAACTATAAAAATTTCAATCCCACTAAACATACGAGTATTTATCATTTATACAGTTAGTTCTAAAGCTCCTGAGTACTTCACTGGATGTCAAAGGCAATTGTCAGTTGAATTGTTGTTATATCAAATCTCAGAGTTTGAATGCAAATTGCAAAATTCATTTTTAGCCGGGCTTATTGCTCAAAGAGCAATTGCCGGCTTATGTGATCCTGTTCAAGGCAGGATGTTGACCCCATAGTCGCCATTTTAAAGTTACGTGCAAAAATATAGTTCTTACTCTCAACCGCTTTTGAGATAATACAAACGCTAAATAAAGCAACAAAAATAAAACAAAGTTTTATCTATATAAAATAAACATTAGTAGTAATGACTTTGAAAACTTCATAAGTCAAAGAACATAGTTCATTAGCGTAAGGATTTTTAATAATCAGTGTTACCGTAGTTCTCTACACATACGAGGTAAAGCAGGAGAGGGAACCAGACTGACCTGTTTGTTTACATTCAGCTGCGGTACCAGATTAATTCTGATTCAAAATCGGACCATGGTATTAGGATTGAAAAACTCACTGTCAGTGTCTTATGATTTATATTGATAGTTTTAAAATAATTTTTTCATCAGAATATAAACGTGATTCATGTAAGAAATCCATTCTACTCTGTAAATGAGCCCGGCTCTCTGTACTTCTGAGTACTTTGATTATTAAAGTAATCTGAATCGTCTGGATTTAGAAAAAACAAATTGTTTTCTGATATTATTAATTACAGTACTTTGAGGAATATATACATGTACCTATTTATTCTAAGTCTTTTTCCTAGGCAATTTTTAATTGATTATACTTTTGTAATATATATGTATCTTTATTAATAATGATTTTTAAAAACCTGACACATTCACTTTGATGATGGTAATCTTTGCACTTGTTATCTTATTTTTGAGAAAAAAAATTGAAACTTACAGAAATATAATTTTGTGTTTCAGGATTGATTGTGACAGCTTGTAAAGTTTTCATACCAGATGAGGTTTGTTATGTTTTTAAAAAGACCATCATTGAATTTACTGACAGATACACTGTACATGTAAAGTCCCCATTGTGTATGGATTGTAAATGTTTATAATATATATGTTAAGGTTTGCTGTTCTTCATTCTTGAAACTAATTTTTTGAGAGTTTTGTTCTTGTGGTACAAACATGACAGTTAGAAGGCAATTCATTTGAAATGACTATAATTCAAAGTACAAGCATATTTTCCTTGCAGCATTTAGTGTACTGCCCAGAAATCTTAATGAGAAGCATCTTAGCACACGTCCATTACATGCCACCAGACTGGACTGGAAATGCTCATACTTCCAGAGTTCGCAATGAATTCTCCATCTTTTTTCAGTACAAAGTTGTAAGTTGAATATTATCTTTTTTATGATTTAAGATGTGAAAATAGCAATTTGTTTATCCCAGAATACCTTAAGATTGATAATTTTTACTTATGGAACACCAGTTCAAAATCAAACAATTTTGCAATTTAGCTCTTACTACATATATATGTAAATAGATATGTTAAGTAGATGTATGTAGCTCATGAATATTCCCTGCCACATGGTGGAAAATGCACAATGGAAAGAAATTTTATACATGTACCATTCACATGGTGTAACATTATCAAAAAAATTTTTTGGAAGGCCTTAGGGAGATCAATAATTTTTGGTTTGTTCGTATGTTTAATTTAGTTTGCTTAATTTATAATTTGTTGCACCTTTCAGCAGTGATTTTTTTTCATGCCAGCACCTACTGCAAATATGGTGCCTTAGTTAAATGTATTTATAGTCTCATATGAAGGATAGGTCTCCATGTCTTGCGTTAGGATTTGAACCTGTGACATCCTACCATTGTTGTGCCTCAACTGGCAACTGAAGGGAGAATTAAGATAGATTGTTAAAGTCTATTACTTGTAATTGACACAAAGGCTTATTAATATGCATAACTGATTTTCCTTTCAGGTATATCTCTTTGAAGAACTTTTAAGTCCACTTTTGACACCCTTTGTGCTTTGTTTTTCCTTGCGTCACAAATCTATGGAGATAGTTGACTTTTTCCGTAACTTCACAGTGGACGTGGTCGGCGTGGGGGATGTTTGTTCATTTGCACAGCTTGATGTTAGAAAGAAGGACAATAAACCAGATAATGGGGTAAGCACCATGTCACTGCATGTACAGCCCTTCCTGTTGTCAAAAACCTAACTTGGGAGTCAAAACAAACAGTTAGACCAAAAATAAAGGTTTTTTGATGGGAAAGCCGTGCAGAAAATCTCCATTATGAATAAAAAGTCCCACACTTTATGATATATTTTGATAGAAGAAACATGCATTTGGTCATTAATATGACCTATAGCAGTCTGTTTTGTCCATCAAGATTTCGAAGAATGTACGTGTGGAGGTTAAAATGTAAAAGAAACTGAAATACTGTATACAGGGTTATTTTTGCCCCGTAATATTTTCGCCCTTTCACACTGTAAAACAAATTTGCCCCGTTTTAAATTCGCCCAATCGTGAGTTTTGTTTAAGAAATTATACTGAATTTTTTGTATTCGCCCCTTTTTAAATTCGCCCCAATGAGGGTAGGGTGAAAGGGGCAAAAATAAAACGGGGGCAAAAATTTCCCTGTATACAGTATGTAGATGCCAATAATTTACAAACAATATGCCTAAATCTAAAATGATTGGAATAATTGTGTTCCCTGATCAAAATTCTACTGCAATTGACCGATAGTGATTTATAATTTATTTTGCAAAGGATGATTCCCCAGAGACCTCCACAAGAGCCAACATGTTTACACCAGAGCAGTCCCCGTCACAGGAGGGAAAAATACAGATGTCTCTCATGCATTTCCATGTAAGGTTCCTCATTCTTCCTTTGTTTTATGTTTCATTTATAACATGACATTTTAAAAAAATTAAGAAAAAACAGAGTCTTTGGTACATAACAACACTGGTCTATGTGAATTGTTTTCTTGGCAGTTAACAAATCCAGAATGGAAGCCTCCAAAGGAATGCAGTCTATTCATCAATGATATTAAAGAGCAAGGTAGATATGTTTAATGTATATCATATTGAAGAATTTAGATCTTTTGAGAGTTTATATGCATTACACAGATTGAATCTTACATAGGGTTATGTTTATGAGAAAGGGAATCTTCCTTATTATTTTGAGAATAGTAGGGATGAGAGAGATTGTAGAGTAAAATAACATTACATTTTAAATACATTACACTATGTCAATCATGGTTTTCTAATATGAATTCTTGAAGTAACAATGCCATCATTTATAGTGGTGTTTAGACCCTAACTCGTTCAGACTTGCATGTATCAAGGCCTTATTTGCTGGATGAATATACACTGTACATGTATATATTTGTGTGAATCTGTTTTTGAATAAGATGAGCAGAATCTCAATGCTCATCAAAAATAGAAATTCTTTGAATTTATGTATTTATTGAAACATTGAAGACAAAAATTCTAATACTTGTAACTTTGAGACAAATTAGTTTATTTATTTATTTTACAGCCCAGAGAAACACCACAAACCAAAGTATCTTTCATCCTATGACCCAAAACATGGTGAACTCCTCTCAAGGGTCCCTCACAGGGTATTTGTCTGGATTACAGCCTAGTGGTACCCTAGGATTGGGGGTAAGACTTTCTTCCTATTTTAGTGCATCTTGATCATGTTGGTTGAAGATTAAATTGATCTTTACCTATCATGATTTATCAATGAATACATGTAACAGCCCAGAGAAACACCACAAACCAAAGTATCTTTCATCCTATGACCCAAAACATGGTGAACTCCTCTCAAGGGTCCCTCACAGGGATTGGGGGGGGGGTTGGTTGAAGATTAAATTGATCTTAAAATGAACACTAAATCTCCCCTTGATTAGCAAAATATTCAAATTATTTGGTTTGATCAACATTTATTTGTGTGTTATGTAATGAAAACCAGTGAGACTAGAAAATGAAGACCCAAATTCCTAGAATTACAAGAAGTTTTGATTAATATTCCTTTTTGAATACCTTTCTAAAGAAGTCAAATCTTAATTTCTGAAAAAAAAGTGTTTCATTTTGTTTTGCAAATCATGAAATGTCAGTTACATTGTGTTTTGCATCATTCAGTTCTAAGACTGATCCTGAAGCCAAGATACTGAGAATAGCAAGATTGTCTTGGTTCATTCAGTAATTGAATCATTACTTGTGTACCATGTTTTTTGTTAGGGAGGGGGGTTAAAATTCTGTTAAATGTCTACTTAGGTGAAGAAAAAATAGAAATGCTTTTTACTTTCATTTGGTTTAATTTGAGATATTTTTTTTACTGTCCAGAACAAAAAAGTAAAAATTCTTACTACTTTCATGTTACAGTATACAAGCATGGCATCCAGTATTGCCATACAGAGTGGTGTGTACCCACAATCCACCCAGGTCTCCATGGCACCTGGTACAACCGGCATTCAGCATAAACTGAGAGGAGCTATCTCCACTATAGAAGGACCTCTGGAACAGTCCATTAATGGACCACTAGCTAACATTCAGGGTTCTTCAAGCATGATCAACAGTGGTGGTGGATTTTATTCTATTGGCAGTTCAAAACCCAGTGTGGATGAAGGATCCTTGGAATTACTGTCACATGACATGAGTGTTAGTGCTTTGTATCTACATGACCTTCAGTCTCGCAAACAGCGAGGCCAAGCACAGACTGGGGGGTACGAGAATTTAGAGGACATTCGGGCTAGAGCTCTGTGGCAGAGACCAGAGAGTAACCAGGCTGCAGGACACGCCCTGATGCCGAACATACAGGAGAGAATGGAGGAGGAGGATAAGGAAGGAGAGACATCACAACCTGTCACTAAATCTCTATAGGCTTACTGTTCTGTACTGTCATATGCTTATTGTCAATAATTTACAAGGGTCATATCATGCTTAGTGTCTATGATTTACCAGGATGTATTTTGTTTTTATGCAGTGTAATAAAACCTATAATCCACTGTTATAAGAGTAATTCTAATACATGTAGTTATTCAGTGAATGGACCCATTGAAAGTTCTTTTGGTCACAAGTAAACTTTTCCCCATTATTGGCAGGTCTCCAGATTTAGTGGTCTGTTGTTAATGTACCTTTCACAAATTAAGCTGCTTAACTGGTGGTATATACATTTCAATTTTGTTGAAAAGGAGGGACATGCCCTTTTTAAAGGAGAAATATTCAAAAGTAGTGCAATTATGGTAGGGTCATTAAGGCATTTTCTCATCAAGAACTGAACAGTCATCTATGACGATATTATGGAAGCATCATTATGCGGTGAACAGTTTGTTTTTTCATGCCATGGGAGGGGATGGGGTGGGTGGGTAGTATAACATAAACAAGGATAAATGTTGACTTGCAAGCTTACCTTTTACCAGGGCTAAGGCCCTAGAAGGGATCTAAAGACTTCACATAGGTATTAGGGGTTTCAAAGTAGAGGATCTAGATTTTTCATAAGATGAGGGGATCCGTTTTTACTTTCTATATACATGTACTAGTATATAAAGAGGAATCAAAAAAATAAAATAGAATCCAAGTACCTCACATAGCAATTTAAGATATAAAAGGATCCAAAGATTTCACTAAACTCATTAGTGTTTATTCAAGATTGTAAGAAACATGGCTCTAGTAGTAGGATAGGAGACAGGAAGGGACTGCCCAAAGCTTTTGTCTACAATGGGATGGAAAGGTGTAAACTCTCTCTCTCTCTCTCTCTCTTGCAGAACACCAAATGATCTCTTAGAAATTCTGTGTCATATTACTTCAGTTACTTTTCAGTTTAGTACCCTAGGTTAGCAGAATTGCACAAGATTACCAGATTGAACAATTTTCAACAACCTACACTGTTATTTTCCTGCTGAATAGAGGGACATGAACTGTTTTTGGGATCCCCAGCCTCCATACAAATTGCATGGCCCACAGCTTGAGGACAGGACCCCCCCCCCTCCACTGATATAGACCCCCAGGCCTTTTCGACTTTTTACACGTATTAAATTAAATATGGATGACACATTTGTGATAAAATCTTTTCTATCAATTCAGAAAATTTGCTTAAACATTTTATAAAAATTTCTACCCATTCTACATGCTCTATATATATATATAAGTAACCGTGCTGATTGTTATATAATGTTACAGAATGTAGGCCGGGTTATAAAACGTTTGTCTTAGGTATATTTTATGAATTGTTGGTAAAGATGTAGATTTTATCGCAAATATGTCATTGAAAAATAATTTATGAGGAAAAGGTCCAGGGGTCTATATCGAAAGGGGGAGGGGGGTCATGTCCTCAAGCATCTGTGATCCTATGTCTGTTTGTAATGACCATCCTATAGACAATTAAGTGTGCGGCATTGTTTTCGTGTTTTGTAGACTGTTTTCTGATTTTTTTTAATATCAGAGCACAACTTATTTAGATAAGATTTTGTCTTTGTCTCTAACCAACCGATAGCTTTTGTTTATTTTTTAAGCTTCTTTAATTAAAGGTATATATCTTCCTTTTCTTCTGGCAGAGTTGTGTCGATCTTAAGGCTTAAATATAAATAAATCAAGTGTCAAATCTTAATTTCTGTCAGTTTTGATATGTGTCATCGTTTCGGCTCTGATCGTAGAGTCTAATTGTTTCTGTGATAATTTTTTAAACCTATTTTGTTATTATTAAAACAATACATTATTATTAACAAAATTATTACAAAAATAATATTGCCCGTGTCTCTGATTCTCAACCATGATTTTGGTGCACTATATGCCATAGGTTTTTTTTCTTTGACGTTGGCATTTAGATCTTCCGTATAGGATAGGATTAATACAGAAGACACCACAGAAGGGGGTATTCCCTCATTTTTTTCCAAACAAAATCTGAACTTACTTTTTAAATTAATTTAGCAGTAAAAAACATTAATTCAGAATTGTTAATTATGTTAATTCATAGGCAGGTCGGCCTCTCGCTACATTTTTTCTGCAGTGTAGTTTTTTTTCCAATGTCTTGGAACATCTAGGCCTAGTTTACTTTCCTTTTAATGAAAACTGCTAACTTCTTTAGAGAGGGTAACGAAAGACAACTCCGCTTGAAGGGTATGAACTTTGACTGCAATTAGTAACACCCGCTGTAACCCTTTCGACGCCAAATAACGTTACGACTATAACGTCAAGGATGCCATACTATGACGTCAACTAATACGTAAAATAGTTGCGTCAGAAAAAAAGCGTCAAATTGATTATGAAAAAGCACCTGTTTAACCAAGGTCAAAGGGTGTAAGGAAAATGCTTATAAAAGAATCATATTTATTCCAATAATTGTAATATCAGTACAATAAAGTAAGCAAACATTAATCCTATAGCTAGCAATTGCAAGGAAAGAATTTAGATGGAGCAAAAGAGACCCCAACTCTTTTTAAATTAATATTTATACTAAATGATTATGTTATTAATTTATAACTGCCGTATACTAGAAAACAGACCCTTATGTAACCTGGTTACTTTCTTAATGCAAATATGCATAACTTAATAACTTTTAAATATACAATTTATCTCATTTTTCCAGTATTTTTTAAGAATCTTCAAAACAAACTTGGCGTGACTCAATGATAATGTAATTTGTCGTTACGGTCGGGTCTCGAACTCAGTACGTTTCTAAACATTACCAACATTTTTAAGTACAATTTTTATTGTGTTGATACAATGCCTCTCCCCAAATACCATGAAAAAAGAGAGAAGTCAAGTCCAAAAATTAGGGCACCGCGGGCCATCCCCTCGCAAAAAAATCGATTCCGATATACAAAAATAAATATAACTTTCATGTAAATGAACTCATGGTTTATAAAATTTGTTCTTCCGGGTTAAATCATAAGATGATAATAAAATCTTTTCTACTACCATGCGGAGAAACATAAAACACCAGGCTTATTTACATAATGAAGTTTTGTTTTGAGAAAGTTTATTCCACATGTAAAAATTAAATATCATTAATTATATTTATATTCATTGGGTTTTTTTTCTCAAGTAAATCAGACTGTATCAAAAGCAGTAATGATAGTAATGCTGCTGAACTGAGGAATAGTAGATCGACGTTTATGTCAGGGTTTTTTTGTTTGGGGGGGGGGGGAGGAGGGGTTAACACTTGGACACAACAATCGAACATTATCTCAAAAACGTTATAGAAATTGGTTTCTGTAATACAGATTCCAAATGTCGGAATGACTTGGCCATTCGCGATCATATTCCCAACTACAAATTCTCACCTGCTTGACAGAAAAATATAGCGGAGAGTTACATTTCATGCTTTAGAATATGAGCTCGACTTCTAATCTTACGAAAAATTAAATTGTATCATTACGCATGGTTTGAAATAATGAACTTTCTAAAGTCCTGAAATTGATCATAACGCGTCAGAGTAATCAATAATAATGTCTATTTAACGATTGTCTGGATTCCAACTCAGATTTATGAAAAGTTCTAAAATAAAAAAAATGCATAGTTTGATCAATGATAGGTGTATTGCAGTTATTTGACGAAATCTTCATGTATAGTGTACATGTATTTGATTAAGGAAACACTGTCTAGTTAGTATAATATGCCAGGGCATCAACGATAATTGATGCCCGAAGCGTACTATACTAACTAGACAGTGATTCCTTATATTACCATTTCATTATGAAATAAAATTGTAGATTTAGATTTTTAAAATGTAGACATGGATTTAAATAACATGAGGACTCCCATACCAATTTCAAAAGTCCTCGCCCACTGACGTCAATACAAAGACAGCTGCACGAGATTTCCATGCATATTTGGCCAACTTAGCTATTGACCTGCCTAATTAACATTCCGGTAGAATTGTCAAGAAATCAACTCCACTAACTTTCAAAGAGTTATCACAGAGAAAAAAATTGAAATGGAAATGTAATGGCATCAGCTTACCTGCATGCAATCGCGGCTTTTCATTTTTAGGTAAATTGTGTTGAAATGTACGTATTTATATATTTCTAAAGCAATAATTAATTAATTCGTTTAGCACTAGTGTTAATATTTGTTTTTGTATGAGGCCATGCAGATAGGTATATCCTTTAATACTACGGCTCTAATTGGACTCTCTTCAAAGGCATCTCAACCATTTTGTTAATACAATGTTGCATCTCAAACATTTTGTAGATACAATGTTACACTATTTCGGAATCTCGAAGTTACAGAACATGACTTGTAATATTGCATGCTAAGGCAATTTTTTATCTTTTGTTTGTTTAGCGTCCACACTAAAGTTAAAAAAAAATCTTTCTATCTGAATAAAAAACACATAATGAAATGGAAAAGCACAAGATGAGGAATTTCTCATCATCATCTGGGAATATACATTGTATCAAATATAAACTACTAGTGTAGCGAAATAAACATTTTTGATACACAAACAAGGGGTGCCGATCTCAAAGAGTTAACTGTTTGGCAAACTTTTGTATTTGTACATTTTCATAGTGTGTTTGTTTTCAAATATACCTAAAAACTAATTCCGAGTCGTCCGCTAACGCAAAACATAGAGATTTTTTTGAAAAACCTTAAGGCTCATAAACCCTCTGCTCACTTATATAAAATGTTGCTTTAATTATAACCTTTATGATTTTCCAAAAAAAGTTCATAAAAGATATATATATGTAATTATAGACATCTATGTCATTTAGATTTATCTCTCTTATCAGAGTATCGATGTACCTTAAGACACAGGCGGGGAGAGTTAAAACTCGCCATCCATGATTTCAATGTTAAAGTCATAGGCGTCGGAACCGGGGGGGGGGGGGGGGGGGGGCTAGGGGCTTAGCCCCCCCTTTTTTCCAGATACATGTATATACTTAGTATAGACATTGAACATTGCTTCGT